GACAAGTGTCGAAGCGGATGCTCGCAGTAGGTGGCTGTGCTCAAGGTAGTTATAGGACATAGAAGTTACCTGTCCTCTAACTATCTAGATGTTAATTAGGGATTCCTTAAATGATAGCTAATTAGGGATGGTTTAGTGTCTTTTCTACTTCTAATTTACCTGACTTCATGATGTACTGAAACTTCATGATCATTACATTCATTCACAGACCAAGTTCAATAAAAATATTTACTATCACAACTTATAGACTTTATGCAACTGAAACTCAAATTCCTATAAACTTAGAGCATCTACAAGCGACAGCTGGTTATTTTCATTCACTAAAGTGCACACCCATTCGAGCGCTGCTAGTGCAAGCTAATAAAACAGACTACACAGGAAAGCATTAATACAAAAATAACTAGCTATTTAAATAAAGCTTTACACTATATTTTTAAAGTAATTTTAACATTACATCTCTGTCTACAATCTTGAAAGCTACTCATTTACTTACTTCTTAATAACACGTGAAGTTTCTTAAATATTTATTTACTCACTTTATTTTCCTTATCCAAGTTGATTTATCAGTAAAAGCTGAGTTGCCTTTTATGGCTATTACATATTTCCAGCGTCATTCTGACTAGAGGGGCGCTGTGTTCGTCCCAATAGTCAGTGGCAGGCAGGATACTAAAGGTGTAGGACATGGAAGGCACAGATGCCTAATAATATATCTCTAATTGATTGAAATTTTCATATATTTTCTTGTAAAATAAATGTTGTTATTGTTTACAAAACCTCTTATTATCTCTTGGACGCACCTTAAGTCTCACAGAACCATTAGATGCAAAAATGGCAAATATGTGATGTCTTATGGCTGCACTATTGTGATGTTAATTAAGAATTTTTTGATGAAGTAAAATATATTTAACTTTTATTCTCAAAGAATTCTGCATTACCTTATCAGTATTCATATATTCTAAATAAAATTATTTATTTGTTAGATAACATGCGACCTACAATATATATGCTTACGGGAGCAGTCACAGATTGCGATCCATTGCCGTCCACTGATCCAATTTTTAGTGACAGTTCAGAGAGTGAGGAATCTGCAGAACCCGCTGGTAATATGGAAGGTAATTGTTTCTCTGTTTCATAAGACGCTTCTTTCCTTATCATTATGAGCTTGTACTTTGTAATATACAATCAAATTAAGTTTCTAGCTCCTTTTTGTTCATATTTAACATGTTATAAATCAATTTAAGTTTCATAAAAAATTCTCTAGTTACTCCAGATTTAGAGTTTATTTAAATATTAATAAATTCGTAGATCACTTGATAAAACAATTACTGATTAACTAATTCGACAATATACGTGACGTAAGTATGTAGTTGCAAGCACGTGTAAAATCATCCTGCGTAATTCTTCTCTATTTCTTTACAGGCCATTGAAAAAAAAAATGCTTTAATTATCAATAATTTCAGGACTTGAAATTCGTTTAAATGTTTATCAGTTTGTATATTATTAGACTGTAACAATATAGTTAATTTGATAGCCAGCGTAAAACAAATACATACGTAGCAAAAAGAAGGCGTGAACTTTTCCTAACACATTTCCTACTTTTTGATAAAAATTTCCTAGATTATAACATGTTGAGAATTATTTGCAAACTTTTATTGAATTCAGTGACATTTTCATTAGATGAGTGATTAAATCTTGTCGGATTTTCTATTAAAAAATTAAGTTATAAAATATATCTTAAACAAAAATGTGAAACAAATAGTGCAGATTATAAAAGTTAGTAAAAATGATGATTCATAGTTCATTGGTATTTAGTAAACATAATGATTAATAGTTAGTAACAATTCTATTATTTCTTTAACTAAAGTCTTGTAAGTTTGTAATCTAAAAACAAAATATGAAACAAATAATGCATACTTTAGAAGTTAGCAAAAAAGGTAAATGATATTTAACATAAAATAGGTTTTTGTAAATAAACTGCTGTTTCACCGTGGCTATGGTCGAGAACGAAAAGACGAAATTTAATCCACGGGTTTGTATTAATACGATGCAGGCTGCTGTATAAAGTCCAGAAGATAAAAGTCATTCCAAAAAACATGGAAATATTTTATTGAAGCATATGAAAGACATATAAAGACAGATACAACAACCAAACCTTCTTTCGCTTTCCAAACTAAAGACTAACTCTGAATTTCATACATTTTAGAAGCTGACGTCACTCTACACTAAATTCAGTTCACTTCAGTTCGCAACATTCTACCACATTGAGACTTAGGAGGAAAGTCATGTTGAGACTTAGAAACAAGTATAGTTGAATAAATCCAGTCTTCTAATTGCTTTTATGCACCTATTAGAAAAGGTATACCTTTCTATTATTACAACAAGTGTCTTAAATCAGTCTTAAATCTAGAAGATTTCTGGGAATTATATTCCTCCTTACTCAATACAGATTTACCTCAAATATGTTTTAATAATTCTTTTACAATGGAATCCAACCTTTCCCACCAGGCTGCTGTGGGTGGTATAAGTTTTCAAATTATTTTATGCTCTCTCTAGAAATTTTATCCCAATTTAATTTAGAAAGATTATTAATACCCCCTTTGAAATTGGTTCCATTATCAAAATTAATTGTTCTTGGCCTTCCTGATCTAGCGATAAATCGTCTAATCACAACAAAAAAACATCCAAAGATAAAGAATTTACCGATTCCAGATGAACGGCTCGAAACACTGCGTAAGTAAATAAGCCTATCCACTACTTTCCCCAATTTCAAAAGCAAAAGCCCTGTCAAATCAGTTACAACTTCGAAAGTTACACTAAATCAGCCTTGGTTCGTCCAGTCACGACGCTCTTCATAACCATACTTAATAAATCACGAACGTAAATCTGGACAAGTAAATCATCTCTTTTAAATCGTACTTTTAACTGATTGAAGGCCTTTAGGTAATTACCCATTGTTGCCAGAAAACTCTGAATGACTCAGCTTTCGATTTTGGCTCCACAGCCTGATATTGCAGCTTATCTTCATCAGATATAGGCTTATCTTCATGAAGCTTCTGCAGCAAGCTCCTGAAGTACAAGTAGTCCTTTGGATCAATTATCCATTGTTGCTAGAAAACTCTGAATGAGAGACTCTCAGCTTTCGATTTTGGCTCTACAGAGTGCTTTAGATATTGCAGCTTATCTTCATCAGATATACGCTTATCTTCGTGAAGCTTCTGCAGCAAGCTTCAGAAAGACAAGTAGTCCTTTGGGTCACCTGAAAATTTCTTCAGTTCGGTTTTTGGTAATTTTTTAAATTTTTTATTTATTCTTTTTATTTCTAGGTACAGAGACTACTTGCAAAAGCTTTTCTAGTTAGCACAAATTTCTAAATGTCTCTCTCTGTTTCTAAATCTTTCTAAATGTTTCAGCTTCTTAAAATTATGGGTGTACAGTTTCCTACCATCTTCAGTCTTCAATAAACTTTCATTAATTAATGGCAGACAACCTTCAAGTTTCTGGAACATATTATTGACTTTCAGCTTTAAAATGGAAATGTCATTTATAACTAAAACTTCTTTAACCTGCTGATTTTCAGTTTTCTTCAGACTGAGTTTAAATGACGTTCTCAGTCCCTTCCGTTTTGGTTTTAATGTATTCAAATCCATCTCCAGGGAATAATTCAAACTTCAAAGCTTTAGACTCAAAACCACCTGTTATTGGAGGGTACTACATTATTATACTGAGAAAGAAAAGCCAAGATTTAATACAGGGGTATGCGTCTACACGATGCAAGGTGTTTTGTAACGTCCAGGAAGACAGCAGACATTTCAAAGAGCATGGAAATACTTTATTGAAGGACATGAAACATGCAAAGAACACACACAACAACCAAATCTTTCACTTTCCAAACTAATGACTAACTCTGATTCTCATACGTTCTAGAAGCTGACGTGACTATACTCCAGCTTCAGTTCATTTAACTTCGCAACAGGTATAGCTCAAGAAAATGTCCACAGCAGACTTGTAGTGATATGAATGATTACAATGATTACTTTCACAATGTACACGCCTTGCTATTTCTGGTTTCATTACATTCAGTTATAATTAGCTAAAATAATACTATCATCTTATGCAAAATTTATGTTTTGTTTATTAAAATACTTATTTAATAATAATTTTATTAACATAGAAATCAATCTCTTTCGAAATTATTAAAATTCCTTAATTAACTATTATTATTGATTTAACCATCAAATGGTAACTATTACTATTAAAATAAACTAACTAATATGTAAAAGTTATATATAAAAAATAACCGCAAACTAATATTTAAGCAACTATTTATCTTCTTTATTTCAGCCATCAATTAAGCAAAATATTTATTCTGATATTTTTCGCCAATTATTTTTGCCGTAAACTGTTCAAGTAATCTTACAATGACTACTATTTAAATAACTGATAATAAAACCAGTCTTAAGAATAATATAAACTACTATCGGAGTTTCACATGTGAAAAATCTAATTAATGATCATGTAAAATTTTAATCGGAAAGCAAAAAATATCTCTCATTTTCAGAAAAACAATTAAAAAAGTTATAGGTTTTTTTATTTTTGGTAAACATGCAATTAATGCTGGGAGATTATCATTATATATTTTAAAGTCATTTACAAATTAAAATTTTCAAATACATAAACTGAGGCATTTCATCTGTCCGTTAAATGCACCAAGATGTACAACTAAGTGAAAAAACAATTTTATCGTATTAAAGAACTGAGATTTATCTCGTAAGGTCTATCCCAAATAAATAGGTTCTCAAATTAACAGATGAGCGCATTAATCGAAACGATTAAATTATGTTCTTGCATTGCAACAAACCTTTATGTGAAAATTAATCTGTATGTGAATATCTCAAATTTAATTTTTTATGCATTTAAAGGAGATGACTATGACGACCTTGATCGTAATAGAAGAAGACGTGGTGAAGGTATTGTAAATTTATTTCTCAGCATAATGTAGTCTTATTTACATTTGATGTACTTAAAGCGTTCCTTTTTCTTTATTACTTAATTTTTAATATTAATTTGTATATTTTTCAATAAATCATAATATGATATGCATCAAAATATCTGAAACTGAGCGCATTTTATTTATACATTTCCAGGAGATGAATATGAGGAACTTGAACCTAAAAATACATCGCAAGAAATGGGTAAATCATACTGTTAATTTTTTTAAAACTCTTGTATATTTACATGGAGACTGCCATGTTAATTTTGGTTCAAGGAGAAACTTTTCCATAAAACCATTTTCAATTTCAAACTGGAATGCTTCTCTTCCTTCTACTGCAGTACTATTTCGTGTACCGGAAATACGAAAGTAAATATCTAGAAATAAATAGACATAATGTATTGTTGCGTTCTACGGGCTCGTGGTTTTGAATTGATTGATGGTAACACTTGATGAAGCATCAAAACACAATTTATTCGTCTATATTACACAGCAAATTTCCAAAGACGTGTTACAGTCGTCAAAAAACCGCAACAAACATGCTGAGACAATCACAAGAACAGCCTTCAGCCCATCAGACTCTAACGGTGAAGACAGCTTCACGGCAAAGCACTAAAGTACAGCTCCCGACTCAGTCGATCGTTCTTGGAGCTCAAGACTCTACTCTCTGGTACTGACTTTAAGATACTCCGGATACTTTAGATCCAATTTATTGGTATCTAGAGTATCGAGTTTCGAGAGTTTCCCATTTGGATACAATATCGAAAGTTTATTGGGAATATTTTCTCCCCAATAAACTCTCAATACACTGCTACTCCGCGTACAGGCAGGATATTTATAGCTTTTGACCTGTCTTCGAGAACATTCTGGGAAAACCAGTAAGAATTCGTTCTATACTGCAGGTCAACCTGACTTGAGAACGCTGCATATAGTAGAGAGTGTATGTGTCTGCCGTAGAATATAGCTCTACCATTTTTTTACAATATTACAATTTCATGCCTCGTCACGTAAAAACTTTAATCTTTTAAATACAAGCAAACAGTCGTTAATTAATATGGTAAATGTCTTAAAAGCAATAAACACAGTTCTTAAGAATTAAATTTTCTTTATACTTTTTTAGTTCTTATGAACATTTGCGCTTTGTTGTAACTAGTATAAGACATTTCTAATGTTATAAATATTTTAATTGACTGGTATAAGGTCATTTGTTTCTTAATTTTTATGTTGGTTTCACGATTTTATAAATTTTTAATATTTATCTAATGCCTTGAAATTTTTAATAATAAACTCTGAAGTTGTTAGACTGCAGTCTGAATATATCAGTTTCAAGTCATTTTATTTATTTTATTTTAAACAGTAATCAGAAAGATAGGATAAAACTTACTGTAGGAAGATGATTATCTGGGCCTGACTGAAAGTGTATGTGTCTTAGGGGACAATTAATACAGTATACAAATTTTATAGTGTCTGCTCTATAATATAATCAGAGTTTTTTAAACAATCTGCAAATTAAAATCAAATTAACGTCTTTAAAAAATAAAAATTGAAAAATTTTTCCTTCGTTCACTGTTTTGGGAGCAACAAGCTGCGTAAATTCTTAAAAATTAATAAAAAAATAACTTACTACCATATTTTCAAAATTTATATATTTTACTTGTAACTAAGAAAAAGGTCTTGGGAAAAAAAATTTGGCCCAAACTACAAGAAATACCTTGTTAGCTCTTCCGTTTCAAGTAACGATTCGGGTTTTAAATGTCATTAAATTCGTATACGTCACATTTAGATAAAAATGAAAAAATTCATATTCGTATACGTCACATTTAGATAAAAATGAAAAAATTCATATAAATTAAGACAATGAATAACATGCCCTACATTTTATACTACAATGAACTATCAGTTTGAATTTCAGCTTTACTGCATACAAAGATTGTTCTTTAAATACGCTGGCGGCACACCAGCGGCCGAGCGGTAAAGTCGCTGAACACTGGTAGTTCGGTTTGAGGTCCGAATCCCGCGAATGAGTTGGCTGCATGGGCCTTTCCGTGGTTTTCCGCATGTGAATCGTGTATACCAGCCTGTTTCCCTTAGAAAGTCCTCCACGAAGGCATCCCTTCCCTTAGGCAGATAGGCTTCGAGGCTTTGCCATAATCACACACACACTTTAAATACGCTGGATTTCGCAAGAAGTCGCCAAATGTGCAGCGCATTTGGAGGAAATGAATCTCTGCGGGCAGTTTGCTGCGTATGGATAACTTGAACAATAGGGTGAAAAGATCGTTCTAGCCTTGTATGTGTTCTCAGGTTAGCTTATCGTGAAGATAGAATGTTCTCTCTCCTTCTATAGCATTTCGCCGAGTTTGTCAACAAATGGGCTATTTCGCTCCAAATCTGACCACCCTTTCCTTGCCATTTTCTGTCAACCCTAAATCCGCTTTGCCGCTAAGCTATCTTATCGCTGCTGAGCATTTCGCAACAGTATGATTATCAAATGCACATAAAATAGAATCATTTATTTACATGTATGACAACTATTTTTTCAACGATATAAATGTAACATATAAAGCAGGTACAAGAAGTATATTGCTTGGTATAACGCAGGTACAAGAAGTATATTATTTGGTGACTTTCGTCATATTCGCCCATTATGGTCATGCAATTCAACAATGCCTCTTTTTATCGATAATGCAATCGTTAAGTGACGATAACTGTCACTCAGCTTATTGCCGCCCGAATTAGAGACAAATAAGCAATCCCACTAACATGCCAACAACAGTAGCTGTTCAAATGCATTTACACAATCTCTGTACCCACGTGAGAACAACAGGCCTGCTGTTATACTCAAGCTGTTATTGCGTGTCCTCAGGAAATCTATTAGCTGTGCACCACGGCCAAGACCCGGGAGGTCTTCTCCATAAGCTCAAATGTTGTACTGCATAACTTAAGGATTATTTACATCAATTTAATGATAGATATTATAAGAACACTCTATGCCAGATATTATAAGAGCTTTTTACACAATATATGCAAGTATCAAAATGATAATTCACAGAAATATTTGCACACTGTTTACAAGATTGTAGTTTCTATATGAAAACTACATGCCCGTTGCAGAGTTAAGATGGTTATACTAATGATTTAAAAGAATGGATAAAAAAGAAATAGTTAAAATTTGCGTCCACGTTACAATATATAAAATATGCGTCCACGTTACACGTCGAATCGTTAATAAAGACGTGTCAGGAGCTGTGAGCGCCTATCGGACGATCACGCTCTCCTTGCATTCTATCGTCGCTCTCGGTCAACCGCTACCTTATTAACGCTCATGGCTCAGCAGTTGCTATCAGGTAACTGTCGAAAGGTAACACTGCTCCGAAACAAATGTCTAGAGTTTCTGCCAATTGACCACCCTGCTTCCTTTAGCCCAGTCGCACGTCCTTTCAGAAATGATGACATCTGTTCATACTGTTCGGGAAACGTTCTGCCAGGCATTAGTACAGTCCACGTGAGGCGACGGACCTACATTTGCATGGAAGAGTATTGGAATATCCTCCGTTTTCTACACATCCGGATGCTCCGTTTTTATACTCTGGAGTTCCTTCTAGTCAGGCATTGGCCGCAAAAAGTTAATCATACGATAGTTTGCCATACCTTACGATAGTTCGCACATTCTATCGTAAGGTAAGGCAGTTTCGTCCCATTCATATTTGTTATTTATATAATTCCTTCTGGGTGCCTTGCTTTTTATTTCAATGCATTTATATATGGATAAGAATGGGCAAATGAATAAGGTAGGAATATTCAGTAAATTCCAGTCTTCAGAAATCAATGTTCTTTGATCTAAATAATGAGAAAAAGCAGATTATAACTAATACTAAAAATGTATAGTTAATCAAAACAATTTAACTATAAATAAAAAACATAGCAATTCACGTTATACATAATAACAACGAATTAGTTAACTAAACAGTAAATGCATCTTCACTAGAATTCCCTGCCAGTGTCATGGACTAAGTACAAGTTTTAATCAGAACACCTTGTAAGAATCATTACATATTACCACATGAAAACAGAGGATACTACTACACAAGATTAAGTCTTCATAGTAGTTGAACTTCAGAAATATGAACCGAAATTAATTTCTCCGAAGTATGTTTTGAGTAAAAAACGAATACAAATCGGATAAATTGGAGATGAGAGTTACGTCAGTTTCAAACATTCCTTCGAAAATTTCGAAAATCCCGTCAAAAATTGCTTGTAATGGCTTTTTTTCCTGGCTTGAACAAATTGAAAGAACTGTATACTTTTTCCCACAATCAGGAGCAAATAATTATTTGTATTGCGATATTCGTAACACATATAATGCAAAAACAGAAAAGAATAATAGCAGTACTGAAGACAATAAATTTATCTTCTTAATAACAGTTACAATCCATATCTTGAATCTCAGAACATGGGAATGTGATTGATACGATACTGAACAAAAGCAGTTTTAATTAAATGTGCCGAAGAATATTCATCGAAATCATTGACTGCTGTTATTAATCCATTTGGTATAATTTATTTGTTGAATGTTTATTTCCCATTAATTTTTCCATTAATTGTTGAATGTTTATTTTCCATTATTTGTTGAATGTTTATTTTCCATTAATTTTTCCATTAATTGTTGAATGTTTATTTTCCATTAGTTTTTCCATTAATTGTTGAATGTTTATTTTCCATTCCATATATTAAGTCAAGCTCTTTTATTTTTATCACTTACATAGGTGACGACAAACTTAAACAACGCGCACCTGCCATGTTAGAAAATGAAGTGTTTAATGTTGCGCAACTTCTAATGGAAGGTATGTCTAACAATTATATGCAACTACTACTTTACAAATAAATCGACGTTAAGGTTTGACTCTCAGTTTCTTTTGAGGATTTCTCTGCCTCGAAACACATATTCTACAAATATATAAATGTTACAGAATTTAATCTCTTGCTTCTATCGAAGTAAGCAATGAACTACTAAATATTCTGTCAAAAGTTTCGCTATTATACAGGTTATCTGAAAAGGTCGCTGCTAAACTTAACATGCTGGTCTATCATATCATGAGAAATAAGGTTTACATAGGACTTGTGTCCGAAAATGCAAATGGCGATCGCTTGAGGGCAATGTTCTCAGGCTTATAGGAGAGTGGGAAGTGTGATTATTTCAGGCGAGGACGTTACTGGAGAAAGATGAATCGGTTTACTAACTCAGTTCTTTATGGACATTTTGTGTGACATTTTGTGGAAGGTGTGTTGCCGGGTCTGAGGGGTTGACGTTCCAGCAGCTATCGCCTAAACAATTGGTTTCAACATGATGGAGCATCTGCACATTTTAGCAGCACTGTGCGGGAAGCATATCCCTTCTCGTGAGTGAATATGGCATCCGATGGCATCAATTCTTCTACGCTTAGGAACGCCTTGACTTTCCTTTGGCTCGAGGGTACACCTCTATACTGTTTTTACAATTTGATAGCAGTTCCGAAAAGATTATTACGTGCTTTGTATTTGTATTGCTATGAGATTACACTTCTTACAGCACTGTAGTGTGGTGAATTTAATATAAAAAATGTAGTATCCTTTTTCCCCCTAGAGAGAAAAAGTATTATTTCTTCCTGTGCTAACTCCGTAAATGTGTATTAATAGGAAGTGCAGATATTTTTAATAACTATATTCTTAATTTAAAACCCTTCATATTAGAAGTGTTGTGATTATTAATTCCTTATTTCACGTTCATTATATACATACTCTGCAGATGCAATCTCCGAAAGCATGAGACAAGTCAATTTTCGGAAATAGCAAAAACGATGTCGGGAGATAAAATAGTACACGGTAAATTTACACTATTTATAATCAGTCTGGAAAAGTAAAATTTATTTTTGAAGTTAGACTAATATAGATTCGAAGCAGAGAAACAGATACGTATTTTAAATTGAATCTTTTCTCATATAAGTGTATTAAATTCAGCGACAATGCTGAATGCACTTTTTTCTTTCATTTAAGGCAACAGAGTATTAGAAATGACATGGACACTGACATGGAAATAACATTTGCAAAGGAAATATTTTCTGCAATGCAAAAGAAAGAGAATGCAACAAAACTGCAATAATAATAATATACTTACTAGCACATAATGCCTTTATATTTGGATCGAGATCGTCGTGTTTTGATTTTTGCACTGAATTCATGAACTCAGCTATTTATATAATTTAAGCGCTTAAGATTGCTTCTGATATTAACATCATCTTTGAAAGATTGCATAATTTTATAATTGCATGAAACAGGAAGCCATATGCAGAACGCTAAAGCTAAATATTTTCATTTTAAATAAAACGAACGATAATTTTCACTCTTCCGTGTCAATCATGCGCGTCATTCGTCGAAACAAAACCGTAAGAATTCCGTCTAAGCGTCATTACGCCAAGAGAAAATGATGTCATCGAAACGTATATCCAATCACAAGGTATGGATTCTTCCCTATGCGCTTGGCGCGGTACAAAATGCTTATATATGCGTGCGGGAATACCTCGTTAGGACATATCCTGATCGCTGGATTGATTGAGGCAGACAAGTCGCATGACCACCGCGATCTCTCGACCTGACTTCCCTTAATTTCTGACTATGGGGATGCATGAAGGCCATGGTGTACGAGATGACAGGAACACTGGACATGGATCTCGTCGCCAGGGTCGTGGATTCGGCGGCACTTGTCCGCTACACACTTGTCCATTTTGAACGGGTCCGTAAATCCATGCGTGGACACTGTAAAGCATATATAGTGGCGAATGGAAGGAATTTTGGACATCTTCTGTAATTTAACCATGCCCTGTAAAAAAAGTCATTTTAATACCTTTTCCCACATCTTTTCTTCCCCTTCCCCCGCCTCTACGCTTGCGAACACTGCCTCCTAGCGGTCGCCGTTCGAATTTTCGGACACAAGTTTCTATGTAAATCTTGTTTGTCATTGTATGACAGACAGCATATTAAGTTTGACAAAGACCTTTTGAGACACCCTGTATATCCGCTTTCGATTCTTCAGTGTTAGAAGAACAATTTTTGTAAACACAGACGCAGTTAAATAATGCAAAATTAAATAAATAACCGTATTTCGAACAATTTTATTTTTCTTGAAAACAGATAATATTACATGAATTCTGAAACAATGTTAAGTTTCTGTTTAGCTAGCAGCTTGTTTACAATGTTTTTTGTAACTGACAAAATGTAAACAGTTCGAAAGATGTAAGCAAACACCTAATTATACAATTTTACATCAAATGTTTTTTTTTTTTTTCTTTTTTTTTCTTATGCTTCCTTTTTTAAGAGAACATCTTTCCTAACACCTAGCTTACTTCTCACACAGCTGCTTTAATCCATACTCCTTCAGCTTTAAAATACCATAATTGAGCGTTTATCACTGAAAACACTTTGTGGAACTTTGTAAGAGATCATCATTTTATGTAAAAATCCACATTTTCATATTCCCACTACATATATTACAATATTTCTAACATGTGAGTATCCGCGATTTTTATATATATCGCCATACAGACACATGCATATGAATTACATTTACACTAAGAACGTATATACTGCGCGAGAAAAGTAAATGAAATCAAATATAATCCCTAATTTTTATAATCTAATCGGATAAAAGTCTGTCATAATTCTGTTTCGAATTTCTCTGATGCGAATTCAGTCAGTGGCTTCTAGTCAAATATTATTGGCTGCTACCACTCATCAATGTTTGTCATGCTTCATATGGAATAGAAGTAATTTCTCGCAAAAGCTCTCCAGTGCTTAAACATAAGAGCAGTTATAACGATAATAACGCATCACAGTCATTTCATTTGAGAGATGGGGTCTCCATTAAAACATTCCTAAGAAAAATATTGTGCTTAAATTGATGTCACATTCTAGAATCTGAAAATTGCGAAAACACGGATACCGAAATGAAATGTTTCAGTTTTAAAATAAGGCAGTGAATAAAATTTCTGAAAAAAGAAAATTAAATTTTTAGAAACCGTTAGCATAGTTTGATAATATGAAATGTATCCTTCATAAATTAAACTTGAAAATTTAGATATTTATTTTTTTAGTTGTTTAAGCGAAAAATTTTTATCAAAATAAAAGTCTTGTATTTTTCACAGTTTGCTACAATAACCTATACGTTTCGAAATTTACATTTAATTGTAGTTTTAAATCTACAATATATGCAGTATAAATTGTTACGCTACATTTCATAATTTTTATTCTTTTAATACCTTGTTGAAAGACATAGTATAAAATATCAATCTAACGTTTTTTCTTGCCTTTGAGAGATTGTTTGTACAGATTTTGGCATTTCATTGGCATTTGAATGTTAGTTAGCCTTAACATAAGATAACGAAGCCTGGCTAACGAAGTATAGTTAGACTTAACACAGTTGTTAAGGCTAACTATACTTCGTCTATGCTGAACGTAGAGGAACCTATTAAAATGTATAGCGACTTATTGCTGAGTGTGTAATGACAAAGTCCAGAGAAGAGTCCGATTCTTTTATTCACTGAAAGACATAATAACAGTTGGCCCCTTCTCAGGCTTACACTAAAGCCTCCACTTAGGATTTTAAATCGAGATAAAGATATAATCCCTAAGCTAATCCCTATATCTCCTAAGCTCTCCTGCTGGAGTAAGCTGAACCTTCCTTAAATATTCCTTTTGCCTCATTTACATGGAGTGCGATACTAAAAACTCATTCTGGTTGGGAGCTGTAAGGGAAAAACAAAATTTTAAAGGAAAGGGTTTCAAAATTAAAAATAACTGTTATAAAATTAATAAACCTTACAATGTTATGTTTTTTCGATTTGCACAGTTAATTGTGGGAATTCTGACTGAATATTAATGGCTGTAAAATTTTTATATTATTGAAGTTACTTAAAAATGAGTAAATTTTCTTCAAAATATGAAAGAATTTAAATAATATGCATAAGATAAGTAAATATACACCAGTTAGCATTTTCTTAATTAAACTAAAGTTAGCAAGATAAAAATTAAATTACAAAGCAAACATTACGTAAAAAATAAAAATTTACAAATTTGTGTATTATATGTTCATGAATCGAGAGTCAGAGTTTGGAAGAATTTTTAAATTAGTTATATAAAATAAATACTAATTAACATAAAGCTAAGTATTAGCATCTTATAGTTTAATGCCGTATGTCTTCATGGTAATTACTTTTCAGATCCCACTGTTTCATAGTCTTTACCATTTTTAATTTGTTCTAGCTTCAGAACCGAGGAAAAATTGTACCCTTCAAGATTACATCATGTATTTCAAGCAAGTGGTAGAGTGTGGAAAAATAAGAATGACACTAACTTCTGATGAAACATTTGAAAATTGTTCACAAGCCGATGTGGAAAGGTAGGTCATGGAACTGAAATGGTGTTCAGAAAAAAAATTTTGGGTTTTCAGAAGTAACTGAAAAACTAAGTTACAAAGGTTTTTTCTCTTGAAAAGAAATTAAGGAATTTCAAAAAGAAATGATTGAATATCAATTTCCATACATTCATTTAACTAATTGTACATTCTTTGAATTAGTTATGCTTTCGTCTAGCAGGCACTCAGTACTTAACTTTGATTTCTACGTGAGAGTTTTACATTGGTAGAGTAATGAATGTCGCAGTGACATTGTCGTAGTATGTCAAATGTATTAGAAATTAACTAAGAAGTCCTTTTACGTAAATATGCGTTCCTAGAACGAAATATCTCTTTTATAAACGCTAACACGTAAGAAATATTTGATGCAATGAAATCAGTCCCATATTTATTAACAAATTAATACTATAATAAAAAATTATTCATTTAAAAAATTCCTCTAAATTTCTAAATAGGTATTTCAATAATATAATTTTTGAACAAATATGTGTTTTATTCCTCTTGGCTTACAATGTGATTTGATTATATTTGTAAAATTAATATGTGTAATCAAAGTGTGTAAAAAAAGGAACTACAACATATTACTGGAAATATAGCTTATTTTACTATAATGCTGCAGATAAATTTTTAAACTTTAGTTTTTCCTGTTAAAGGCTAGCTTAAATAAATGACGTAAATTTTGCCTATATTCTTAAATGAACTTCATATAATTCACGTCAGCAAACCAGTTTTCACATTTGCTATTATTTTATATTACAGGCATTAACATTACACTTAATTATTATTAATATTATCATAATATGTTCTTAATATGATATTATATACTGTAATTAAAACTTATCTCTGTTTTTTTTTTTTTTTTTTTTTTTTTTTTTTTTTTTTTTTTTAACGAAATGTGAGATAGTTTCGTATTTTTCCTGGAAAGAGAGGAGATTTTCAAATTAAAATCGTAAAACACAATTTGTCTCAAAATTTGTACAAAATCTCTGCTAATCCACATGCAGACTACGTAACTACTATGTAAGCTACGCATAGATTTTTATCCAGTTTTCAATAATAAACTGATTAGAGGATACTTATCAGAACAGAAGACACTTAAAATATCTTCATCATCTCGAAGATACAGAAAGACCTGACGCTGGAATACATAGTTTTTGTATTTATTCATTTAAGATTATGAAGTGAGAATCCAAACTTTTACAGCAATATGGAATGTTATAACCTTCTTATATGAAGTGAAGGAAGTATTGTAACCGCGAAAAATTCCGGTTATCATATTTCAATAAAAATATCGATTTGGACTTGTAGAGTACCTCACTTCGGAATTGTAAGTTAATGTTGGAAGTGAGGAATCTAAGAACTGATAAGCGAATAATCGCTAGAGTTCGATGACAAGAAACAACAAGAGAGAAGGGTAACTAACCCTTTATTATTTCGATAAGATTTAACAAAACTCCGCCTGGGAGTGTACAAGTAAAGCCCGCACTTTGGACTTGAACTTAAAAGACTAAGAATTAAACTAAAACTAAGATTAACTAAATAAGTATAGCCAAAGCTATCAAGGTTCAATGAGAGTTGGCCCCTTAACTTATTTTACTAGGAAGCTTAGCAAGGGCCTGAGTACGGCCGAGCGTAAAACAGCTTTGAGAGGGAGCGCGGCCAAAAAGGCAGACGCGCGTAATTCAGAAACTCTGATTCTCCCTCTGTCTCATTAAGTAACTTCGTGGTTTAAATACCGCTCCTTCTCATTAAATATTCACCAAGATTCAAAAAGTACGTTCTGGCCGGAAGTAGTAAGTAGAAACTAAGAATTTGACAGGAAAGGAACTTAAAATTTAACTGTTAATAAAATTAACATAATCCTTACAGACTTTTTTTTTTTTTTTTTTTTTTTTTGCGTGACGTCTGTACGTAAGGAATCTTTCTTCCAAACCGGATTGTATTGTAGAATGTGTTCAAAAGAGACGTTTTTCGTGATGTTCGTTACGTATATACAGGGGTTGGACAAAAATATGGAAACACCTTTAAAAAAACATGTTTCTTTGCTTAATATGGTGTAGGAAACCCGTTGGCATACAAAACAGCTTGCAGTCTTCTCGGAATGGATAAATACAGTTCCTGTATGTTTGCCAAGGGAATATTATACCATTCTTCCTGCAAAACGGTGGCAAGTTCAGATAACGATGTTGGCGGTGGATAACGAGAACGCACTTTCCGTTCCAATGTAGACCACAAAGGTTCGATAATATTCAGGTCTGGTGACTGTGGTGGCCAAGGGAGATGAGACAACTCATCCTCGTGTTCAGAAAACCAGTCCTGGACAATGTGAGCTGTGTGAACAGGGGCTTTGTCTTCTTGGAAGACACCATCACCATCGGGGAACAAAGTTTGTACCATGGGATGAACTTGATCGGCCAAAATGTTCACATAAGTCTTGGCAGTCATGTGCCCTGACACAGTTATCATGGGGCTAGCAGAGAACCACGATATGGCTGTCCAAACCATAACAGAAACCCCGCCATGTTTCATTCTTGGCAACAAGCAGTCTGTATTATAGGCTTCAGATGGCGTTCTCCAAACGTAAACTCGGCCAGAAGTGGGAAACAATCTGAAAGAAGACTCGTCAGACCATATTACTCGCTTCCACTGCTCCATAGTCCAGGCTTTATGACTTAAACACCCCCTTTTCCTGTTACGGGCATTAGCATCACTGATGAGTGGCTTCTCCATTGCAGCACGGCCAGCAATTCCCTGTTTATGAAGCTCCCTTCTAATTGTTTTGGTACTCACAGGGTTCGGTAACACAACATTCATTTCAGCAGTAACTTTTGCAGCTGTGGTCTTCTTATTTTTCGTCACAATTGCCCTTAATGATCGTCTGTCACGATCACTCAGGACACACTTTCGTCCAAGCTGTGATTTAGCAGATGATGTTTTTCCGCTTTTCAAATATGCGGAATAAATCTTCGATACAGTACCTCTTGAAACACTAAACACCTCGGCTACCTTGCTTACGGTAGCACCTACCATACGTGCTCCAACAATTTGCCCACGTTCCAAGTCTGTTCACTCTGACATAATGCAATGACAACCTCACATAACAGTACTCCGACGACAACTGACTATTTAGCACATTTACGAAGTTGTATAGGTGGTGTCAGTGGTCATAAACGCCAGCGCCACCTACATATTTCACTAAAATCAATCTTTCTTTTCAAACATGCATTTCACAAGGTGTTTCCATATTTTTGTCCATTCACTGTATGTATCTCGCATAATTCAAAAGCGATTAGCGTTAAAATTTTGTATATGGGACTGGTGTAACAGCTAGTTATGCATCTCTCTTTTTTATTGCAATCGGTAGTGCCAAACTTGTATCTATATTTGTAAGATTAAAAATATGAAAGCAAACTTCTAAATTTAATTCACTATAATCACTTTTATTTTCTATTTCGTTTGGAAACCTCATCTATCTGTCCTAAAAATAGCGCTTAAGTCTAAACTGCGTCATTCAAATTAATCATGCGATCTTATATAGCCCTTAATGCAGATGCCTCTTCACCAATCACCAAATTGCAAACCAAAACTTTTCTCTTTGCGTGCTTCCATCTTGCATAACTACGCACTTCAGCTTTGCTCTCTACTGTGCTAAGATGTAATTTCGCTGGCTTGGTGTCTATGTCAACAATAGCAAAATGTAAATCTTCTGTGGAAAGGCACGAGTAGAGTGCTAAGTGATTGTGGGTACAAATATCAATTGCAAATAAAATGGAATTAAAACTGCCTCGACTGCCAAGTTCTTTAGATATTACCAAGTTAACATTATTAGCATACTACGCAATCAAAATTCTTCTTCAATGTGGAGCTAAGCAACCATCGACACTGCTCCGGCATTTCCTTGTGCTCTTATTATTTCATATATATATGTGATGTACCAGCTTTTGTCCGGAATAAATAGATTTATGAAGAATCATAAATGTAGTCGTAGCTTAAATTATCAGACGATAAGTTTAAAAAACAGGATCCATTTATTATTATTCAGGAAAAATAGCAGTTAGAAAATCAGATATCCAGAGTAAATAAAAAGAATTACTAATAACTTTTTGTATGAAGTTTACTGCATCGTTACATTAAAAGAAAAGCCCCCGATATTCCTTTGCGAGTCCTTTTATAGCCTCTGGAAAGGCGTAGCTTCAAAGAAATGACGTCAGCCTCGTCAGCCAATTCAGTTGGCTTTAAATATTTCCAGAACATTCTATAACTGTACCTGTAGAAAAGGCGGGAAAAACAACTGGACTACGGGGCTGTGGATTTAATTCCACGTACTTTCAAATAAGAGAACGTCGCCATTAAAAATGAAAAGAACATACAGTTAGAATTTTAAGTGTATTCTTGATTATGGAATTTTATTATTACATATATATATATCCTATACATCCACACCCTTACGCGGCCTTTATTTTCCAGTAGTTGTCAATAGTTCTCAAGAGTTTCCATTACAGAAATGATGTGATTTAATGTATGTTTTAAATGACAAAAATATTAGTATTTTGGCAAAGTCTAATTTAAAAAAAAAAAACAGTTTTCGACAAATAACAAATTCTAGCCTTTAATGCAGTGTTCTGGTTCCTGTGCTGTTTTGGAAAGTTTGATACTTGTTAGGAAAAAATAAAATTATAAAAAATTTGACTTCCGTTCGACAAAAACTGACAGGTAAACCTTCTCTCGTTTGATTCTGAAAGCTTATGTCACAAGTATAGAAACTGTGAAATCTTAAGGGCAGAGGGACAAGCGTTTACGGGCTATAGGGTCCACAAAGTATCAGAAACGTGTTGGAACTATGACATCAAAAGTCGCTAAAATGCTCGTTTCACGTATTTATATGAAGTAATAATATGATAAGAAGGTGGAGATCTCAATATAAAGGACGAAACAACTCGTTAAAAAGAAACATTATGCGTTGGAATGTTGAAAATTTGACTTGTTATTAACTTCAAACAAAATCTATTACAAGAGACAATCAATGTGCAGTTCATCAAATAAACAGTAAGACTGGCAGAAAGACAGTTCAAGATGGCCACATTTTACAAAAGCGATAGCCTGACACTTTGCATACTCATCATTTATCAATGAATCGAAGCAGTTATCCATCGGCGCAATCCACATTCCAGGTTCGTCGTTCAAGTATCTGCCCTTATAAAAAGCATACTTAATCAAGTTCTTAAAACGAGGAATTGACATAGCGAAAAGGACTGCAGGGCCAGAAAACAATCGCGATGTCAAATGCTCTCTTGCTGTCTTGGTAATGATCGTGTCCGTTATGTAACGAACAAAACATTTGTAGTGCCCGAAAAAAATGAACATCCAGAGGTTGGATCTTTTCCGTAAATCCTTCAGGTACCAGTTCCTTTTGTAGGAAGCAGACAATGCATGAACATACAAGAAATAGGGACGTCATTACAGAAATATATCCATCTATTCACACTTCAATGATACTTTGTGGGTTCTATAGCTCCTAAAGGCTTGTCCCTCTGCCCCTAAGATTTCCCAGTTTTTCTATTTGTGATATAAGCTTTCAGAAAATATATGGGTTTTCTGAAAACCGTTATCAAAGGAGAGAAGGTTTACTTGTGAGAGGGATATTTAATTTCATAACTTGCATTTTTTAAGGGGACTCGTACACCTTAAAACCCATAAGATCTTCGAATATGTGACTGTTGCAAGAATCGGGATACCTTATTTAATTTAAAAGCAATTACTTCCAACTTTTTACAACTGACTACATAACATAGCTGCTTTCTGAAATAGTGATCAGAAAGTTTATGTTGCCAAAAATATTTTTATAATTTAATCCGCTTTTTGACAAAATATTTCGTCATGTTACCACCTTGTGCGCGCAGTTTAAAACATTCTGTTGCATAATTTAATTCCATATTTAATATATAGCTTTTATAACATTTGAAAACTACTGTGAACCAAACATTCTACGAATTCCATGTTATATTTTTATTTTATTTGGAGTCGAGTTTATAAAATGTATTTTATTAAAAAAATCTGTAATATTTTCGTCTATAAAATTTTTTAATATTAAAATATTCGTTCGATTTTTGGTTCAGTTAAAAAATAGGGCTCATATAAAGAATTCCATAAAATTTCAAGTACGTACCATTAGCCATTTTTAAGATATCGTGCGCGCAAGGTGGAAACGTGACGAAAAATTTTGTCTCAAAGCGAATTAAATTACAAAAATATTGGTGGCAACACAAACTTTCTGGTTACTAGTTTCCAAAGCAGCTATATTATGCAGTCAGCTGTAAAAAGTTGGAAGTAATTGATTTTAAAATAAATAAAATATCCCAATTCTTGCAACGGTCACATATTCGAAGGGTGTTAAGGGGTTTAAGGTGTATGAGCCCCCTTAATGTTGTTTTCAACTTGCCTGGAGGGATCGGTTGATTAAATTAGAATTATTCGAGGAACAAATTTAAATGAAGTGCAGCAAAAAAGGTGTATAATTTAATAGACCGTACAAAGATGTCATGTGGTGTCCATATCAGATTTTTTTAACAAAATGCATTATATTTAATGATTATTAATGCAGCTGTAAACTGCAAACTTAGCCTAAGTTAGCATTTTTTTTATATTTCGTTATGAAATATATAATTTAGATGATTATTTGCAAGATTGTAAATTTCAAGCAAATTCCTAAGTTGCAATGCGTGACTTAGGAATTTGCTTGAAAGAATTTGTGTAATAATTGCTATGAATAATAAGTATTTACACAGACTTTTGTATAGCTATGATATTTTTAATTATTTTCTCCCTCCTTTATGCATGCCTTCGTGGTGTAACGATAGCACACTCGGCGCGTATTCGAGAGGTGCAGGTTCAAGTCCCGGCAAGGACATTGCTCATTTTTTACGTCTCCAGCATCAAAATAACCAAATGTCTCTACAGTGTAGAGTACTCTCTACAGTAAAGCTCTAAGGCAGTGCTGTATTAAATGCTAAAACGATTGAATGTAGCTATAGATGTGTTATGCTGGAATATTTTGATGAGTATGATTTCAATATTTTGATTTTTTTCTTGCAGCTCCTGGAAGGCAATGAGTTTATGCTTAATGGAGGAAAAATTAAATAAACTACCTTGTATAATATCAGATAAAAATCAGACTGAAGTATTAAGACTGAAGTAAAATAACCAAATGTCTCTACAGTGTAGAGTACTCTCTACAGTAAAGCTCTAAGGCAGTGCTGTATTAAATGCTAAAACGATTGAATGTAGCTATAGATGTGTTATGCTGGAATATTTTGATGAGTATGATTTCAATATTTTGATTTTTTTCTTGCAGCTCCTGGAAGGCAATGAGTTTATGCTTAATGGAGGAAAAATTAAATAAACTACCTTGTATAATATCAGATAAAAATCAGACTGAAGTATTTCTTTCTGTCCTAAGCAGAGCATGGAACAGTCATCAAAAAATGAAAGAAGATTATTGTAAGTATATTCTAGGTTCAAGTATACACTTTTGTCAAATACTTCGTAACAGATATTGTTTAAATTAGTTCTTTCTTTCCGCTTCTCACTTTTATATGAACTGCAGAAACGTACGTGTGTTATGGGCATTTAAACTGCATACTGCTTACATAGTTTTTATGCCTTTCATAAATGAGAAACATGTTTCAACTTCATAATCTTCATTGCCAAATATTCTGCCAACGTTGTTTTTGGTCAGTGTTTACAAGCCAACGTTTTATCAACCAATACACATTAGGTCTATGCTGCCTTAGTTATGGCTAAACCCTAATGGAAGGAAGAGCTACAAAAAAAATTTTTTATTGCATGTTAGCTAGTAGATTCAAAGCCTTGTGATAAATTTGATCTACACTCATGTCCATAAATTAAGGATAATTGGGAGTCACGCAAAAATCGAACTCTAAAATAAATATATCACCTGTAAAATCACTACACACATCTTCGAGAATAATATTCAAATTTCAGGAAGTAACCAGATGACACCGATGGTACGTCACAATGACGAGAGTGTAAGAGAGTGATATATAAGGAATACAGACAAAGATGTAAAATTGTTCGCAGGCGCTTTATAAGCATTTCAATGCAATAACCGAATAGCTATGACATAAAGGACGCATTTGGATGATTTTTACGTGGTAGAATTATCGGCCGTCTGTAATGTGGGCGTATCCAACTGGAAGTATCAGACGAACTTGGAATTGCCCAGAGTGTCATCTCCAGGCTTTCACAACCATTCCAAGATGATGGTAATGTGAGTAGACGTTACAGCACAGGTCGCCCCAGAGTTACAACGCCGAATGAAGACCGGTATTTGGCAGTTACTGCCAAAAGAAACAGGCGAAGCACAGCCTCAGACCTGTCTCGTCAGATCTCTTCAGCCACTGGTACGACAATTTCAAGGCAGACCGTGTACAGACGCTTAGGGCAGATTGGTGTACATGCTCGTAGACCTGTCAGATGCGTTCCACTTACTGCAACTCACTGTCGCCTGCGGTTAGCCTGGAGTAGAGAGCGTGCATTGTGGACACCGCAACAGTGGGCTTGTGTGATGTTTTCCGATGAGTCCGGGTTTAGCTTGCAGTCTGATTCTCGCCGGACTTTCATTTGGAGAGCTCCAGGTACCCGTTACCACCAAGAAAACGTCATTCAACGACACCGTTACGGTGGTGCAGGAGTGCTCGTTTGGGGTGGAATTATTCTGGGTTCCAGAACTGACCTGCATGTTCAAATTGGAACCATGACAAGGCAAATCTCTCGGGACGTCATTCTGGAACAACACGTACGTTTGTTTCGGGGCGCCATGGGCGCACAATTTGTGTTTATGGATGACAACGCCCGTCACCGTGCAAACATCGTAAGCGAATGCCTTCAATCGGAGGATGTCACCCGTATGCACTGGCCAGCATTCTCACCGGACTTGAATCCAGTAGAGAACGTGTGGGACATGCTTGGCCGACGAGCTGCAGCCCGTCAACCTCCTCCTACATGCCTACCGGAACTTCAGAGAGCATTGCTTTTTGAGTGGTGTAATATCCCCCATGATCAGATCGATAATTTGATACTCAGCATGCCTAGGCGTTGTACGGACTATATTGCATCGTCTGGGAGACATACAATGTATTAACAATCATACCAATCATGTAATATTGGTTTTTTTGTAAATAGGTTTTTTTTTTTTTTTTTTTTTTTTTTTTTTGTAATTTGCTCCAGGGAGAAAAAATCGCTAATTTTTTTTAATAATATCAAACATATAGCATCTTTTTTTGCTCTTTACCCTTTGCTTAATGAATAAGCTTTACAAATAAGTCAAATTTGTTTTGCTTCTAACTCTTCCTTTGCCCGATTTTGCATTATCCTTAATTTATGGACATGAGTGTATTTTCGTGCTATAAATCATGTTATTCATTTATTGATTCCAAAGATTCCTAATAAAAGAAATTTTTATATTATTACATTTTTACTGTTTTATAAGTAATTAGTTAATTAATTGATTCCTATATACTTAAAAGTCCAGGAGAGGTAATCAATAATTAGGTAATTCGAAAATGTGTATTTCAAACAAATGAAGTCGAAATTTTGGAATCACTTTTGTAAACTCTGAAGACAAATTAAGCACTTTTCAGGGAGAACTGTATTTAAAAACAATGAATTTTGTAATACTGAACATAATTATTTTCTCAGCTCCTTTTTCCATAAAATTAGAAACATGAATTAGCTTCATAAGGAAATTCAAATAAGGAAATACTTAAGACACAATAACACGCCGAACAAATACTAATTCAGAAGTCAAACAACAAAAATCAGTGTTATATTTTCAAATTTTCCCAGGACTAGTTTCGATGGTTTTATCGAACCACCATCCTCAGCTGCAAAAGCGCTGAGGATGGTGGTTCGGTAAAAACCATCGAAACTAGTCCTGTGAAAATTTGAAAATATAACACTGATTGTTGTTGTTTGACTTCTGAATAAGGAAATACTTCTCGGGTTTTTGCAGCTATGAAAAACACAAATGAGGTAAAAGGAAGTCTTCAAATCTTACAAGTTGAAAAATCATCATATTTTATATACACAGAATTTATTTGTTTATGTACGAAACATAGATTTAAGTATTAACTAAATCTTTTCCACAATTGTTTTAATCTTTTCAAATTGTTACATACATCAACACTAGTTGGAATCCTCTCTGCTAACAGGAGCTAACTAGGGTCTTGCTTTACAATGCAACGTCCTTGCGACTAAAAATAGCAGTAATCGAGGCGCAAGGAGATCCCGTTTTTATAAGGTAATCATGAGAATGAATGAGTACGCATTTCTGAACTTCTGTTGGGTATCAGTGCGAAAGAACCCTAAAATTATTGCATGCAAGGAAGTTTATTTTATTTACTATGCGTGTAAATCAATCCTAAAAATCAAGTAAGCTGATTTACCTGATTATTGCCTTTAACTTTCAGTTGTCTTCAAAGCTAATGATTGATATTGTTGCGATATGCCCAACTGCGTAATTAGGGTTGCTAGAAAGTGGTAGGGAAAGACAGGTTGCCAGATTTGGCGCAAAATCGCCTATCTGGTATTGTCGATATATCATAGACGGAGCGGGAACATTCCAGAATGCACTCTTAGCGGTTTTCCTGGGAATATTCTCGAAGGAAGATTAAACTTATACTTTGCCTGTATAAGTGGAGTAGTGTATCTTGAGTTCAGAGAGTAGTAGAAAATCTTCATTTCAGATATTATCTTGAGAGCGATCGACCGAGTCGGGAGCTGTACTTTAGTGCTTTGGTGTGAAGCTGTCACCATTACGATAAGCGCGTTGAAACTACGATACGATAAGCACTACGATATACTACGATAAGCACATTAAAACAATCAGCAACGCAGGCTAGGCTGCGTTGCTGATTGTTTCGACGTGCTTATCGTAGTTTTTGACGTGTAAATGTATTTTTGGACTGTGCTGTGTAATACTGGGTAATACATATTATTACACAGCACAGTCCAAAAACTGTTTGATTTTTCCTTTTACATAAAAATATAATTTTATTTTTATCTGTAGCATTTATGTCTAGGTAATGAGAGTCAAATTACCTAGACAAAATAATAAAAATATTCAGGTTAAATAATAATAAAAAATTTAATTTTTAGCTTTATAGAAAATCTTAATGCAAAGTACTCATAGCAAAGGTACTTAAAGCAGAATAGCAGGATCCTGTATAATGAGTATCTTGCTACTCTATAATACTTTATAATGTACATTATACTATTGATTTCCAATTCACTAAGATACCAGAGAAAAATAGCCTACATTAAGGGTCACTAAATCAAATTAATAATTGATTCCCAATTGAATAACGTTTACAAGACATCTGTCAAAAACCGTAATATGATGAAAAATAACCCAAAATAATCTAGATTTGCCGAGGTTCCTGATGATTAGAAACCAATGGCTTGCATTTGGAATAACCTTAATGATAACTTAATTCGTGATAATTAGTGTTAAATCAGAAGACGATTTAGCAATGCAGTACTCGTTTCTCAATAACAAGCACATGAATTATTTAGTGTTTAAGTCTTTTATAAAAACCAATAATAAAATAAATATTCATCTACAAAATATTCTTAGTATTATGTTTCGATAGGCGAGCTAATTAAAGATTACATAAATAATTTTAAATCATATTTTATATTTAAATACTTTCCTTTTAAATTACACAGATATTTTAATCCAATCTCATTTCTTCTGTCTTATACAATGTCTATGTTATATTCATTTATTTAATTAACCTCCCTAAGTCCTAACTTGGTTATTTAAAATTGAGGTAAAATTAGCATTAATACCTAAGGTTCCATGTAATCGCCATTGCAATTCTTTCCACAATCTTTCTTCTTGAGACTTAATCGTCAAATATTTCTTTATTATATTTTATGCGTTTGATATTTTACTACCTTAAGATTTAATACTTTTAACATCATCAGTTAATTTACTAAATAGTTTTATTTGGGATTTTAGGTTCAACTTCAAGTGTCTGCTATGGTGAAGAAATTCCATCTTTGGACAAATGCTCAGGCATTATCTACGATAAACTGATATTTCCTTTCAATAACAATCAGACTATCTCGAAGAGGTAAGTTCGTTGAATTAAAGTTACGACAAAGCACAAACACACACAAAAAAATGCATATATTTTCAAAATATTTCTTAATTACTAAATTATTAAAATTCTTGATAAATTAAAATTTTGTAATTATGTATTAATCATTACACTGTATTCACAGTGAATGACATGTTAATAAGACCTTCTAAATGATTAAAGAGCCAATGGAGTTTTTTAAATTAGTCTTTGTAAGATCTCCCCCGATGCGCCCCTTTTTGGACGCCGGGAGGGTTGTGCTCAACTAGACAGTTTCGGGTACCGGACGATATTTGTCATAAAACGCCGTCCAGGTGTCCAGCCATGCATTCACCTGTTCACCTGATTAGAAGCTTTAAACAAAAATATATTAATTATGCAGAATAATTATTAAATTCCCGAATAGAGGTTTCAAAAGAAAGCAATAGGTGCTCTAAAATAGTACTACACTTTGTCCCAAAAGTTTATAGACTCAAGTGAATTACATGTTTAAGAAAAACAGAATTATATAAAATTATCCAAGTAAAATTTTTATTTAAAACAACACATGTGCCTTGCATTTGAGTAAATACTATTTAACAAAAATATCAATTTGTAGTTTAGAAAAAATAAAGATAGAAAACATGTGTGTCCCGAAAGTTTATAGGCAAAATATTTTATGTGAATTGGTTAGCAACAGTCATGATGAGGAGCTTGAGCCTTTTATATGATAATGGCCTCATTAGTACCTCCAATTTAAAAAAGGAAAAAGATCATTTGAACTGCATTTAAGTATGCCTAAAGCTACGCAGCTTTCTGTTGCTGAACTTAATAGGATTCTGCACTGTAGATCTGTTAAATTAATTTTTGAATCTTATCTGTAAGCATGATTTATCTAATGTAACGTCTCGTGAGACGCCACATCGGCCAAAACCACATTCAGGAAGATTCCGAGTGATGGACAGTCCCAGCGATAAGCGAATACAAAGAATGGTTTCCACAGACAAAAAGCTAGCTCACCAAATTACAAGGGCTTGTGGATTACAAACATCCCAAAGTACTGTTCTTAAGCGAATCAATGAATCTGGTTATATGATTCAACCGTTCTCAAAGCTTCACAAACGAATGAGATTGCAAAGGACCTATAACCAGATGGCATTTGGTGACAAATGGATCTCTGTAATTTTCAGTGATGAAAACAAAATGGAGTCTAGATGTTCCTGACGGATATTCATATTATTTTCATGACTTACGAAAACAGCCTCGGAGCTATTTTAATAGGAACAGCTTACGGTTTCAACGGCAAATGGGTTTCATCTTTGTAAATGGTCGGCAAGATGCTGTAAATACATAGAAACGCTAAGAGACCATCTTATGCCATTTGCAGAAAACACTGGAGAACAGAATTGGGTATACCAGCATGATAATGCTCCCATCCATATCTCTAATGCTGCAAAACATTACTTAGACATGGAAAATGTATCTGTTCTTGAGTAGCCACCAGTGATCCTCGATTTTAACCCGATCTAGAATGAGTGGGGTATTATGTCTGGTAGAGTTTGCGAGAATGCAAGGCAGTTTCCTTCTGTAAATGCCTTAAAAGCAGCCATCGAAATTGCAAGGTACAATGTGGAGCCAGAGCTATTACAAAACTTAGCTCTCTCGATGAACAAACGTGTTTTTGACGTCCTGTGGAATAATAATAGGACGACTTTAAAGTATTAAGTAATTTGAAATTGATCATAAGTTGCTAAAATATTCATATTTTATAAACTTTTGAGACGCATGTTCTTCTCTGTTTTTTCGCCTAAAATACAAATTACTATTTTAGTTGAATATTTTCTGGAATGCAAGTCGCATGCGATGTAAATAAACAGATTTTTATTTCGTGTTTGTGTTCCTTTCTATTTTTCTAAAACACGTAACAGTGTTGAGTCTATAAACTTTTGGTGCATAATGTTTTGAGAAAATGCCATCCAAAAAATTAACGGATATATCGTATAGTATATAAAATAATTTGGCTCAATTTCTGGTTTTATATATATTCGAAAATATTCTTCCTACACAAACAATATTAATCTTATGTTATAGTATATAGGATTATGTTATAATATATAGGATTAACTTTGCTATTTTTGATTTTTAGATTTCTCAGCTGCAGCTTATTTCTCAAAGAAAGTCTACAGATACTAATTTCTGGTGTAACATGTAAAACGGCTTGTTTGTATGAAATCTATTTTTTGATTTCGGGATGCTTCGTGACACAGCATTCGCTCATAGACAATAAACGATGCGTAAAAAGTGGGTCTTCGTTGCTTCTGGGCTACAAATTCTTCAATAAGTTTTAATAAAGTCATCCGTTTAAGGCTTTAATATAAAAACGATGTCTTGAATTTGAAATTTTGTATGGAAAACATGCAACCTTTGCACATTTTAATCTTATTTTATAGATGAGTAGACCATAAAAATGAGAAAATTAATACTATATAATAGCAAGAAATTAGCTTATCTACTTGGCGTTTGCTTAGTAATCTTCTAATTATCACTTGAATTATCATTTATTGACTATTGCTAATCAACTTAAATTATAAATAAAATATATAAACACCTTTTATATGAAGTCAAAGTTATACTTTAGCCAAATATATATTGAAATCGTATGAATATATAATGAAGTGGAGAACTGTTAGTTTAACAAAAAATAGACTATGCGTTTTATGACACTCTAAAGTATATCATAACAACATAACAAATTTTAAAATTTCCGGCTATCCTTTAAACCACATTATTAGACTTTATAACATTTTCGTCACATTTCAAAAATAAACCTCTGGGTTTTGAAGCATTTAATATACAGTTAAACAATTTATTTGATATGATACATATAGTATTTAAAACATAGTGTCTTTAAACTGTCATAAACAGGATGTCTTTGTCTATATTCCTCATATAAGGCTTTTTACTTCTTTGTGTGGGGTAAAGGAAGTAGTGTAATCACAGAAAATTTCGGGTATATTTCAACGGTAGTATTCATTTTGAAAGTTCCTGAATCCCTTTAGACGATTGTGTATGACGTCTGAAGGCATGGATGAATAAAGAATTGTCCCAAATTGGATTGTAAAATAAATTTAACGTAGATTCAAAAGGGATTTTTTTTTTCATGTATGTATGTATCTCGTGCAGCTCAAAAACTATTAGCCATAGACCATTGAAATTCTGTATGCAGGACTTATATAGTTCCAATCACAGAAGGACAATCACAGGACTTATATAGTTCATCATATAGTTCCAATCACAGAAGCCTTTGCTACGCTTCTGTTACCGGTACAAGATTTAGAAATGCATGCATATGCATACATACATATACAGGTCCATACATGAATAAATACATTCATGTATGGACAGTTAATACATTCCAATGAACCATACATGTGTCGAGCAGTTTTATTACATACATATATGTAATAAAACTGCGGTTCGATGACACGACATGAATGATTTGATTAAGAATGCGGCTCAAACTTTCATTAAAATTTTCTCTGAAACAGGACTTATCCCATCATTCACTGTGAACATAGAATAACAAACTCGTGTAGATTTCTTTATCATTAAAACTGGCCGTAGAATGTAATAATAGAACACTTTTGTAGGTACTGGTGTAAGAACACTGAGATGTAGATGTATAGAAATGCTGATTGCGTAGATAGTTGAATGCTTAGAGCGTCCATTCATTTTTAAGAAAAAACAGTCGAAGAATTTCATGTTAAATTTTTATTTTATTTGGAGTTCATTTTATAAAATGTATTTCATTAAAAATATCTGTAATGTTTTCGTGCATAAAATTATTTAATATTAAAATAATCATCAGATTTTGGGTTCAGTTAGAAAATAGTGCCCATATAAAGAATTCCATCCAATTTCATGTATGTACTATTAGCCATTTTAAAAATATCGTGCGCGCAAGGTGGAAACATGACGAAACATTTTGTCACAAAGCGGATTAAATTACAAAAATATTTGTGGCAACACAAACTTTCTGGTTACTTGTTTCCGAAGCAGCTATATTATGTAGCCAGCTGTAAAAAGTTGAATGTAATTGCTTTTAAAATAAACAAAATATCCCAATTCTTGCAACAGTCACATATTCGAAAATCATAAGGGGTTTAAGGTGTATGAGTCCCCTTAATGTAACTGAAGAATAGCATGAGATAATTATTTTCATCATAAATAATTAAAATTTATTTATGAATACTATATATATAGCTAAAAAGGAGAGAGTTTTGAAGCATGCAGTCTTTCAAACTGGTATATTAAACACCCTAAAAGTATGGAAATTAATAATTCCCAATGGAAAGAATTGCACGCTCGTGAATACTTCGTGTTCTTTAATTTAGTTTATGTTAACTAACTAGTTATTATGATTTAAGGGTTTACTATAACTTCTCCTTTCCGTAATCCTTGTCGGAATGCAAATTATCTTTGTGTGTATTTAATCTGAGAGTTTTCAATCTTTAGTTCAGAGAGGATTTTTTTCCAGATTAAATTTCATATTTATTTAAATTCGCACTGGTGGCCACAATTCACTTGGCACTCTAGTCGTGCTTATTTCCAGAACATTTACAATTTTGATATTATTGCCATAGAAGCGAATAGCAGCACATACATGCTTGCTGCAAAGCGTCTGGCCAAGAGAAAAGCACAAGTAAAAGTGACACATCAGTTCGTAGAAAGAAGAGAGGGAGTCAAAAGTTTCAGTTTTTAATTTTGGTTTACAATTTGGTGATTGGTCGAAAGGCATCTGCATTAAGGGTTACGTAAAATCTCATGATTAATTTGAATGACGCAGTTTACATTTATAGCGCTATTTCTAACACACAGAGATGAAGTTCCCAAACGAAATAAAAATAAAAAAGGTTATAGTTAATTAAACTTAGATTCGCTTTGATATTTTTATCTTATATATATATATACACTGCTCGACATTGAAAATACAACACCAAGAAGGAATGGTCAGAAAGTAATGAAATTTGGAAAAAAGACAGAGACAGCAAGCAGCAATAAGTGATCTTTATTTCAAACTAATTAGTCAGAATACAGAGCGAGAACGGCGTCGGCTCAGTAGGATGCAGGACCACCGCGGACAGCGATGCACGAAGAAACACGTCAAGGCATAGAGTCAATAAGAGTGCGAATGGTGTCCTGAGGAATGTCTCTCCATTCCCTTTCAACCATTTGCCACAGTTCGTCTTCTGAACGAGGCAGGGGCAGAATCTGCAAACGGCGTCCAATTACATCCCACACATGTTCGATTGGTGACAGGTCAGGAGAGTAAGGTGGTCAGAGAAGCATCTGTATACCTTGTAGAGCATGTTGGCAGATTCGAGCACTGTGTGGTCGGGCGTTATCCTGCTTTAAAATTGTATTAGGCAGCCCTTGAAGGTAGGGGATTGCCACCAGCCGCAGTATATTATCCAAGTATCGTTGGGCCGTCATAGTGCCCTGAATACGAACTAGAGATGACCTGGAATCGTAGGCAATAGCGCCCCAAACCATTATGCCACGTTGTAGCGCGGTGGGGCGTTCCACAGTTACTGCCGGATTAGATCTGTCTCCACGTCGACGCCACACACGTATGCGGCGACTGTCACTAAATAAACAGAAGCGTGACTCATCTGAGAATACAACGTTTCAACATTCCGTCATCCACATCGCTTCAGTCCCGCACCATTCTAAACGTTGGCGTCTATGCTGTGGGGTCAATGGCAGTCTTCCTAACGGACGCCGTGAGTGCAGGCCACGTTCAACCAATCAACGGGAAATGGTTCTGGTCTACACGGGAACATCCAGGGTATCTTGTACATGCTGCAAAATTGCGGTACAAGTGACTTGTGGGACCGCCACAGCTTGTCGGCGGATGCGTCGAACCACGCGTGCTGACGTCACTCTGGCTGCACATGCACCCCTCCTTCTTCCCACATTTCCTTGTTCCAACCATGTACGCCATAGCCGATGCACCATGCTCGCATCCATGTGGGTATCAGCTGCGATTTGACGTAAGGACCAACCCGCCCTTCTCAGTCCGATCACCATACCTCACCGTAAAATCGTCTATCTGGCCGTGGCCTTCGAGAAGGCCACGATCTGGCTGGAAGTGCCTTTGTTGATGGCGGCCTGGCATTCTGTCCTATTACACGTATCCTCCGGGACAAAAACCAACTGTCTTCGATAATTCCTCTCGCAGAAATAACGACACGAATAGTTATACGCCTGCAATAAATATCTATCTAATCAAGTTGTAATTAACTATAATCCCTTACTTGATATGTAATTTACATTTTTTTTTTAACTTAAAAAATGAAAAACTTGATCCGGACACCACATGACTTCCTTCTACGGCATTGTAAACTGTACACATTTTTTGCTGCATTTCATTTAAACTTATTTCCTCCAATTTCATTACAGATATATTTCCCATTCAAATAATTCAGCTCTCACTTCGCGGCAAGGCAAAAATACATAAAACCTCAAAACGTCTTCATTAAAATTTGCAAAATGCAGAAAAACATAAAACAACAAATGCAGTTTAAAATAATTTAGAATTAAAATTAGGGTTTCTACGCAAAAACAAGGAATTCGGCCAGGGGGCAAGAAGACAGATTTTTCGGTGCACAAAACTGAAAGTTTACTTTTGGCCACACTCGGCAAAAAGACACTGAAGTTGGTTCACAAACTGACTTATATCACTATTCTACAGAGAAATTCAAATTTAAACAAATGGCGGCTTTTTGAAGCTTAGTAGCACTTAAACAACTTTTAAATTAAGACACAATAACACGCCGAATAAATACTAATTCAGAAGTCAAACAACAAAAATCAGCTGCAAAACCGCAAATGACATCTTCAGCTGCAAAACCGCAAATGGAATTTCATTTGCGGTTTTGCAGCTGAAGATGATGGTTCGGTAAAACCATCGAAACTAGTCCTGTGAAAATTTTGTAGGTATAACGCTGATTTTTGTTGTTTGACTTCTGAATTAGTAACTTTTAAATTATTGATAATTCTACAACTATTCCTTGCAGATTAATTAAAGGCATAAAAACTTTAACCGGAACATATAAAAACATAATTCAATGATTTTATAGCAATAAATGCACAATTTACCAACATATAACTATAAAAAAAATGAGCTCAACGAACCGGATAATAGAGTTGGTATATATATATATTTTTTTTATATTTCTGATGCAGGCGATTTCAGCCAAAAAGGGAGGTGCACAACTACGTGTTATTGCAGTAAAAACTCTTCTGAATCTATTTGACAATCCGTTTTGGGAAAAAGAGTCTTTTATTCTGTCCGTACCTACAGATGTCACCCAAAAACGTCGCTCAAATGGATAGTTCAGTTGAAGTTTTTCGCGATTACAATACTTTCTTTACTTCGTGCGAGGAAGTAAAAACGAAAGAAAGAAGCGGAAGTTTCAGAGCAAACTGGGAAAAAAAAAAAAAAAAAAAAAAAAAAAAAAAAAAAAAAAAAAAACGAATTTTATGTCAGGCGATTTGCTAAGAAATACTGACAATTTTGCTTATTTGTTTGTCTTATAAGGTATTTCTCCCGCCTTTTTAGCGTGCCTTCGTTGTGTAGTGGTCTGCATGCTGGGCGCTATTCCAGAGGTCCGTGGTTCGATTCCCGGCGAAGGCGTTGCTCATTTTTTAATTTTCCTGCTTCCAAAAAATCCTAATATCTCTACAGTATTTCCATAAAATAGATAACTAAATAATTTTGAAAATGTAATTTTGAAATTTATTTTCAGTGGGCATTCCCAAGTGCAGCACTGCTTAAAACTTGTATGGCCTTTTTGTCCAGCTAACGTATCACTTTTAACCCTTCCTTTTCTGTACGTTCCCCTGGGAATAAGCCAAAACAACATTCTAAAAGAGGGTAAGTTACTGATTCTGCTTGTTGCTAACTGCATAATTACACAAATTTAATTGTCTGCAATTAATTGTTCATCGACATGCTAATCAGTATCGGCTTTGCTATAGTTTGTGAATTTACTCGTAAGGTTATTTATTATTCATATTTTATGTTTTAGAAACTCATTTGATTAAATTAATTTTTCTTTCAGATGATGGGAAGAAATGCGTTTTGAATCAAATCACTCATATAAGTATGTTGCCATCATATTTATTTACCATTTTTAATATTCAAGTGCCTATTTAATAATTTATTACAGAGAGTGAAAACTACATTTTTTTCTGCTGTGCAGTTTAACATAATTCACATAAAAAGATTTTTTTAAGATGAAATACTAGGTAAGCACCTTAAGAAAACACAACGTAATGGATGCAACAAAATGTAAAGGTTGTTTAATAAATAAATAAACTGGATCTGCGGTTTTTGGTGGACGTATAAATAAGGAGATTTTTTTTTATTGATTTCTATTGCGCAAGTTACGGACACGTGATTATCCATCTGTTTTATTCATGAATATACATTCAACTTAGAAACTTAACTAAGTACATCCTTGGTTTCTCTAGATAGTCACCAAGCTGTTTGACACAGCTCTTATGCATGCAAAAGTATGCATGCAAACCAAGGAGGTGAGAATAAATGGAGTCAGCTTTCTCCGTATGTCTCGAGCAATGACAATGAAGCCATAAAACGTCACGGTATGACGTCACGACTTATCATGGCTGCTGCCATAGGCGGATTTCTGGTTGGTTTTGTTTACATTCTTCTAATCGGTGTTTTATCGGGCTAGCTATTTATTATTGAATGTTTATAAGTCTCCCAGTCCAGTTTTAATACTTAATATAAACGATTTTCTACTTAATACCTAAATAATTCACAGGAATCGTAAATAACTGTTTCAAATTTAATAAAAACATGAAAATGTGTAAATGGTAACTATAATACAAATGTATATGTTACGGCAAAGTATGAAACCCCGGTATTCTATAGAATGCTTTGTATAATGCCGTACTTTTTAGGCAATGTATGAAATACGAGAAGATAAAGTATATAAAAGCTTTAGCTAGGCATTGTATATAATACCTAGGCATTTTATAGAATGACAAATCCGCTTTAGGCAAAGTATAAAAAAAAGCTCATTATAAGCTATTATTTAAAAGACATTCATTCGTGAAAAAATACAAATGTTATTTTGTAGAAATAATGAGAAACTTCCATTAAAAAACTCTTATTATAAATACAAAAACAAAACTTAGTGAGATGGTCTTTGTACACTATAATAAATTACTTACCGGTTTGTCATTCGGCATTCTATAAAATGCCTAGGCAATGTGTGAAATGCTTAATTGTTTCATGCATTGAGCCGGCCAGTTTTCGGCATTCTATACAATGCCTAGGCATTCTACAGAACGTTTCCTCAAACATATAGATTGTAAAACCTAGATCAGTGGAATTTTCAATACAGTACAAAGTCCGTAATCCGGACTCATCGGGACGTTGGCGATTCCGGATTAGGGGTTTTTCCGGATTATAGATCATAAATTTAAATCTGGTAAGATGGCATGCAGAAATTATACAATTAAAAATATGAAACCGTAATTTATGAAATAAAGAGCAATTATGATCTGAAAGGTATCACATTTTACAAAAAAAGAAGATTAATATTTATTTGTTTACTTTATTAAACATTTCTTTCAATGCGCGCAGGCGAAAAGTTCATGGCTTTGAGGTCCGGATTATAGATCATTCCGGATAATGGAAGTCCTGATTACGGACTTTGTAATGTAGTATTTTATGCAAATTATGCCTAAAGACACTTTCTGAGGCTTCGCAATATTTGTTCTTAAAGTCAGTGTCATTTTACTTAACGTTATGTTTCGCAGTCTTATCCGCCATGATAAGTCGTGACATCACGTTGCTGACATTTCCTGGGCTTCATTTTTGTGACGTCATGCTTACTGCATCTATTCTAACCTCGTTGATGCAAGCAGCAGAAACTGTTCGCAGATTATATGCGGATTATAAAATGAATTCGCAGATGCTCGCACATTATATATTAGATGAAGTTTTGCAGTATACGACAGTATATTATTGGTACAAGGAAGTCTGAGAATACAGAAGATGCAGTGCAATGGACTATGTCTAGGCCATTCGATTTAAGTAATATATAAAGAAAGCTATTATTTTGATTCGAAAACGAAGCACATGAGCTAACAATGGAAATATTCGATATCACTACCGTCTAAGAAACCAATGTCTGCCCCTCAGTGTCGGAAACGTTTTGCTGATTCTTTTACTGCATATATGTTATATGCATACAGTCTAATTACTTGCATTACTGTATATTAATTTAAATGGATGCCGAAAGTCATGATGGTAGGTGCTGCTTGCTCTTATAAAATTCTAGATGGTTTGAGAAAGAAGATTAAGATCAACTGACCATGAATTTTGTCTCAGGATAATATAAGGCCACATGCTACAGCTGACAGCATTAAAAAATTTAAGAAATCAACTGAGATATACTATCCTGTCCTCCGTTCAATCTTACCCAAATGCGATTTTTTCATGTTCGGTCCAATAAAAAAGGATTCACAAGGGGAAACGCTTGCTTGGACGTTGAGATGGAAAATGCATATATGTCAAATGACAGCCACTACTGATATCACACTAAATAAATACTCTCATAGTTCAGGTTATAAATATCTGTTTACGAGAAGCATGACGGGATTCATTTATTGATGCAAACTGTTTTTTATGCTTGAACGTTATAATTTTCAAAGTACTTCAAATTAGTTAGTGTAATACATAATTAAATGATTTTTTTTTCTATTTTTTAAACTTTTGCAGTTCATGCAAGGAAATTTAAAATGAAAAATAATAAAAAATGAAAGAACTGCTCTTAAAACACAGGACATCCAAAAACATGTATTTTCTTTTTATGCTACTTAAGTTCACATTTTTCTCATTTTTGTCAGAATCGAGTTTGTATAAAACAGATTCAAATTGTTTCGATATTTTGAACTTTCCGCAGTACATCCAAAGAAATTAAATACAGAGTGCTTCGTATTCAATGGGGCAAATAAAATATCATAGTACGAATTCTGTAATTGATTTATTAAGCCGAAACAAATTAATTCTGAAACTACAATTATACAAGTTATATCTGGCAACAGCGTCAAATCTTCCGGTTACGAAATCGCCGTTAGAGGCACTGTTAATCAAAATGGTGCCATCTAGGCAAAAGAAAGCGTACTGTGTTTTGTAATAGCCAAAAGATCGTCATTTATCGTCGTTAGAAAACCAGCCCAAGATGAACAGCGGCCAAACCGAAGCGTTTGAAAAATCGCCGTTAGAGGCACTATTAATCAAAATGGTGCCATCTATGCAAAAGAAAGCGTACTGTTTTTGGAATAGCCAAAAGATCGTCATTTATCGTCGTTAGAAAACCAGCCCAAGATGAACAGCGGCCAAAGCCGAAGCGTTTGAAAAATTTCGTGAAATGTTTCTTAACAAGTCCCACAAAATCAAAGCGTCTTGCGAGTTCTGAACTCAATGTTCCTCATGTAACGATGTGGAATGTGCTACGGAAACAATACCGGCCATATACCTTTTAGATGGTGCAGGCGTTAAAACCTTCCGAGAAACTGTTAAAGTTTGTGTGAGAATTTGCAACATAAGCTGGAGGTAGATGGTTTTGCGAACAGACTTGTGTTTACGAATGAAGCCACTTTTCAATGCTATCAGAATGGTTGTTCTCGCAGCTGTAGGAAGCGATTCCCGGCTTCATTCCGCAGCAAGGTGCTCCGCCACATTGGCATAAAACGTATGCCAGTACCTGAATGATAGTCTATCCCATTGCTAGACTAGCCGTGGTGGGTAAAACGTTATGCCATTTCTTTTTTGGCCACTCAGATCCCCCAGACTTAACTCCTTGTGAATTTTTCATATGGGTTTTTGTTGAAGGTCAAGTGTTCGTTCCTCCACTTTCCCAGAACTTACAGCAACTCAAGTCCTCGAATCAAAGGATATTCTGTAAGGTATTTCTCCTGCCTTCTTAGCTTACCGTCGTGGTGTGGTGGTCTATACTCTATGCGTGTATTATAGAAGTCCGTGCTTCGATTCCCGGTGAAAGCTTTGCTCATTTTTCATGACTCCTGCTTCCCAAAAATACCTAATGTCTCTACAGTGATGCCCGAACTAAAAGGGTGGTGGATGATGATTCTTCACACCCAGAATTTGGCGAATGGGTCCCCTAAAAACCCCAGTTGCCCTTTAAAAAAAGGGGGTGTATAGGGTATTTCTTCCGCCTTCTTAGCGTGCCTTCGTGGTGGGGTGATCTGCACGCTGGCGCGTATTCCAGAGGTCCGTAGTTCGATTCCCGGCGAAGACGTTGCTCATTTCTCATGACTCCTGCTTCCAAAAGATACCTAATATCTCTACAGTTCTATCATGAGTGAGGCAAGAACTGGAATACCACATAGATATTTGCCGTGTCACCGGAGGAGCACACATAGAACATCTATCGAAAATTTAGATGACTATAGTTTCAGTGTAAATTTGATTTATCAAAATAACGTAATTAAATTATAGCGTTCGTAGGTATGCTGTCTTTCTATCAAATTCTACAGCCTGTACAAATTACACAAAGTAAAAGAACGGCCTTGGATCATCATAACGCAGATGATGAAAGATAACTTGTTTTTTTTTTTTCTATATATTATTTTTGTACCATTTTTTATGAGGGAAATGTTAAGGGGACTCATACACCTTAAAACCCATAAGATCTTTGAATATGTGACTTTTGCAAGAATTGGGATTAATTATTTATTTTAAAAGCAATTACTTCCAACTTTTTACAGCTGACTACATAATATAGCTGCATTCTGAAATAGAGATCAAAAAGTTTGTGTTGCCACAAATATTTTTATAATTTAATCCTGGTTTGTGACAAAAATTTTCTAGGCGTTTTGTCATGTTTCCACCTTGCCGCGCACAAGTTTAGAAGACATTCTGTTGCATAATTTAAATTCCATATTTAATATATAGCTTTTGCAACATTTTGGAAACTACTGCGTGAGCTAAAAATTCTAAGAATTTCATGTTAAATTTTTATTTTATTTGGAGTTGATTTTTATAAAATGTATTTCATTAAAAAAATCTGTAATGTTTTCGTGCATAAATTTTTTTAATATTAAAATAATCATCAGATTTTGGGTTCAGTTAGAAAATAGTGCCCATATAAAGAATTCCATCGAATTTCAAGTATGTACTTTTAGACATTTTAAAAATATCGTGCGCGCAGGGTGGAAATATGACGAAACTTTTTGTCACAAAGCGGATTAAATTACAAAAATATTTGTGGCAACACAAACTTTCTGGTTACTTGTTTCCGAAGCAGCTATATTATGTAGCCAGCTGTAAAAAGTTGAATGTAATTGCTTTTAAAATAAACAAAATATCCCAATTCTTGCAACAGTCATATATTCGAAGATCATAAGGGGTTTAAGGTGTATGAGTCCCCTTAAAACAACTGAAGAATAGCATGAGATAATTATTTTCATCATAAATAATTAAAATTTATTTATGAATACAATATATACAGCTAAAAAGGAGAGAGTTTTGAAGCATGCAGTCTTTCAAACCGGTATATTAAACACCCTAAAAGTATGGAAATTAATAATTCCCAATGGGAAGAATTGCACGCTCGTGAATACTTCGTGTTCTTTAATTTAGTTTATGTTAATTAACTAGTTATTATGATTTAAGGGTTTACTATAACTTCTCCTTTCCGTATTCCTCGTCAGAATGCAAATTATTTAATCTGAGAGTTCGCAATCTTTAGTTCAGAGAGGATTTTTTTCAATCGCTTCTGCTATTGATATTTTTAGCCAGCTCTGCTTAAAAGTGATATTCCGGCTTTAGCATTTTCACTAGCCGATGCTTTAATAACGCGCCAGTAAACTATCTGAGCCAGCTTATTCTATTTTGGTGTTCAAATCGAGACTAAAATAAACAGATTATTTAAACATTCTTCTCTCTTAATCAGTTGTTTAAGACGTAGCGATAACTCTCTCTCTCTGTGTCTCTCTCTCTAATAGGACTGACAGGACTAACCACAGCTCCAGTTAAAGTAGTAACCCTACAATGTTATGCATACATAGGGTGTAAATTAACCTGCACTTATCATTAGTGCGTAATTTGTCGTACGCATACATATACGCGATATAGTATGAAATTCAGTGTTTCAAAACTCTGAAAATAAACCTTAAGTGATGATTCGAAAGAGTCCTCTTATTGTTTCAGCTAATGCTCCTGAATGTCAAGCAGATGATTATATCACTTCTTTGGGACGAATCATGGATTGCCTTGGCAGACATTTCAGCAAATTAAAGAAATATATGGCAAACTTAACATCCAAGCGCTCAGTGCACTGGTATGTACATATTTGAAATTAAATTTTTATCTAATAAACCACATGAGTAAGTTGAATCAGTTTTTTGCTTCTAGACGGTTAGAGACGGTTTAGAATTTTCTAATCTTTCGAGGGGCGGATGTAGGATGGCCTCATGCAAAACGAATTCTTTTACAATACAACAGAAAATGATGATATGAAAAGGTTAATTACGACAAAAGTAAAGCGTATGAGGTATTTATTCCACCTTCTGGCATGCCTTCGTGGTGTAATGGTTAGCAAACTCGGTGCGTATTCGGTAAGTCCAGGGTTCAAGTCCCGGCGAGGGCATTGCGGATTTCTTCGATTTCCTTCTTTCGCAAAATTCTATAACGATTCTACGATGGCGCCCGAACTAAAAGGTGGTGGGTGAGGATTCTTCACCACAAGGATTTGGCAAATCGGTCCCTAATCCTCAGTCGCTCTTTAAAAAATGGGAGTATATTTCCTTCCTCCTTTCCTCACGCCTTCGTGATGTAACGGTTACGACACTCGGCGCGTATTCGAGAGATCCAGGTTCGAGTCCCGACGAGGGCATTGCTCATTTTTTAAGTCTTCCTGCTTCGAAAAAACCTAATGTCTCTACAGTGGCGCCCGAACTAAAGAAGGTTGTGGATGATGATTCTTCATCACCAGAATTTGGCGACTAGGTCCCATAGTCCCCAGTAGCGCTTTAAAAGGGTCAGCATATAAAGTAGCAACAAGTTTAATGGCTTCCCCGCCCCGTGAACTACGGGTCGAAGGCTGCCAGCCTTTGTCTGGCTTTTAAATGTACCGTAAAAATGCCTGAAGGGAACACCAAACGTTAAATTTAAAAACTGCGCAGAATTATACTCTGCAGAAAACTTCCGAAAAAAAAAGCACAAATTTTTAAAAAATATATTACATATAAAAAAATTAACCAACTTTCCGTTGAAGAAAAAAAATCGTGTAAAACTTTTCAATATCTTTCAAACAGTGAAAGAAGCAAAAAATAACATGAAAGAAACTCAAAAAACGAAAAATTCCGCGCAGAATTTTACTCTGAACAATATTTATCAAAAAAAATCAATAAAATATATAAAATAATGACAATGAAATACGCCAATCTCTTAAAAACAGTGACATAAGAAATACGATGAAAAATTGTTGCCAAACCCATATTTCTAAAAGAATGAAACTATTCAAAATGATGCGATTTCATCAAAAATCTATATCACAACAATAAGAAAGGAAAATTGTTGCCAAAATCACATTTTCAAAGATGTGAGATGTGAGAAGTGTACTCGGAAGCCTCATTTAAAAAAAATTTTTAAAATGCAAAATATTATCATTTTTCCAAAATTCTTTTTGTAAAAGCAGTCGCAAGGATGAAAGTTCAACGTGTCCAAAAATCAAAGAAAAATAAACTTTTTTAGAAAAAATCCCGTTGAAAAGGTGTTAAGCTCCCTTTGTTAAATCAATTCGTATTGAATCGATTTATTGAAACACGAAATTTATTTTAAGTTCGTAAAATAGCTAAGTGCCTGCGTTTCATGACGATGTGAAAATGGAGTGTGTAGAGTAAAATCTCGCTTTCCTATAGCCCATTATGTCTCAAAATGGCGCGATTTCGTCACAAAATATAAAATAAAAAAATTCGAATTCGAGTTTCGGAAAACATCGCTTCGAGGAGGACTGGCTCTTGCTTAGATGCACCTATGTACCAAATATCGTAGCCGTGGGTCTATTAGCTTACGCGCAGCGCAAACGTTAGACACAGACAAATTCTTTCTTTTATTTTATGTAGAGATTTAAAAAAAAAAACTTTCATGCATTAAATTCACCTTTTAGGAGATTTCTAACTCGCCTTCGCCAATTTATTTCATCAATGAAGCTATATTGGCAACCCTTGGCGTCTATTTTTAATCTAACGGTTTTGTTCATTGTTTCGAAATTTGTATTTTGATTACGGTGTTCTCGCTTCATTTTTTGTAGATTCGATTTCTATTTCTACATTTTAATTTCAATTTTAATATTACATAGTGTAAAAATTGCTTAACTACTTAATTTATTCAACTTTGGAATTTTCTTCAATTAGTAGCATTTACTATTTTTCACTAGCGGATTACTATTTGATCCTATAAGTGAGTTTTTATTCATGTTCTCGGTTTTATTTTAAATATATTTATTTTAATTTTAAATTTAGTGAAAAAGGTCTAATTTTATTCTTTCATTTGATTTCACATTGAATTTATCTTGCATCGAGAAGGATTTCAGAATTTTCCTGAATAAACTGTTATTAGCTAAAAAAACTTTAGAAGAGTTCATCAGCTAATACTGAATACAGAAATGCAAGGTTTTTCAGTGGAGGGGGATTTGAAATTGGGTCTGATATGCCCTCCTTTTGATAACGTTACAGATTTAATTGAGTTCCTCTTTTTTATTTATTTTCCTGGTTTGGGTATATATTTTCAGGTATTAATAATTTTTAGGTTTTAATTTCACATTTCTTTAATTCTTATTTTGTATATTTATAGGATATTTTGAAGTTTATTGGTATTGAATTTCACTTTTTTGGGTCTTTGTCAAAAATAGGTTCTAAATTTCTTGCTTTTGTCAGCAGCATATTGCTCGAAAATTCTTTAAAAAATTAGGTTTTTTTAAAAATTTTGTGATACTATATATAGTATCACAAAATTTTTTTATTATATATATATATATATATATATATATATTACTTACAATTTTTCAGGTTTTAAAATACTATTTCTATACAATATTTATTAGAATATTTTTTACTAGAATGTATAATCTAAATAACTTTTACTTAAAATAAAATACCGTTTCATATTTATTACAATAATTTATAGCCTTAATTAAATTTCTGAATTAAATCTGATGGTTGATATATAAAAAAAAAACTTTTCTAATAGTAAATTATATATATATATATACACTCTTAGAAAAAAAAACGAACGACACACCAGAGAAGATATAAAGCAAATTGGACACAAACTTGATATGCATACAAGGTTTCGACGAAAAAATGCAAAATTTTACATTTTGGCTGCCAATGAATGAATTGGTTGTTCGCTACAGCACGATCTGATCTGCGCACAACTAGCAGAATATTTAAGAGAAGAAATTACGATTCCAGGTCACATAAATTCTTCCACAAATTTCATTACCGTGTACTCTGGTAGACAAGTAACTATGCCTCGCATACAGACATCTGCGCGGACAAACGATATGCGCAGATGTCAGAATTTGAGAAGAGGTCGTGTAGTTTGAGCTGAAAGGAAGCCGGATTGGTCTTATCGGCGAATAGCTCAACATTTGAGCAGGAGCGATGACACTCTTAGACGATGTTGGCAGGAAATGGGTGAACCATGGCCGGACACAGCGTCAAGGAAGCGGTAGGCCTAGAGAAACGGCAGAACGTGGTGACCGAGCAATCGTCAAAGCGGCACTGACAGCCCCAGATGCATTATTATCATCGATTGTACGTGCAGCTAGTGCTTCAATGTACAACGTCAAGCCCGTTTGCAGTGGGATCGGGCTCATTCGCCCTGGAATGTCACTGACTGGAGTAGAATAGTCTTCAGTGATGAGTCCCACTTTGAACTGAGCCCCGATGACCAGCGAAGGCGAATCTGGAGACGCCCCGGACAGCGGTGTGATACCAACCTGACTGTTTTCCGGCTGAGAGGCCGACAACCAGGCGTGATGGTCTGGGGTGCCATTTCATTTCGTAGTAGGTCCTCTTTGGTTTTCATCCGTCGCAACCTTATAGCACAGCGCTACGTCGACGAAGTTCTAAGGCCCGTTGTGTTGCTCTTCATGTCACGCCACCCTGGGCTTACATTTCAGCAAGATAATGCCCGCTCCCACACTGCACATGTTTCTACTGCTTGCCTTAGTGCTTGCCGAACATTTATTGGCCAGCAAGGTCGCCGGATCTCTCTCCTATTGAGCACGTTTGGAGCATTATGGGCGGGGCCCTCCCACCAGCTCGGGATATTGACGATGTAACGCGCCAGTTGGACAGAATTTGTCACGATATCCCTCAGGAGGACATCCGCAACCTCTATCAATCGATGCTAAGCCGAATAACTGCTTGCATAAAAGCCAGAGGTGGACAAACGCGTTACTGACTTTTTCACTTGCTCTGTCACTTCAATAAATTTCATCCAACTTTTTTCTCAAACTGTAATCACTTGTTTTCTGTACGTGTACATCACTTCTACCGATTTTCGTTCCATTCGGATAACTAACTTCCTTCGGTGCGTGGTTTTTCTTTTTTTCTTTTTTTTTTTTTTTTTTTTTTTTTTTGAATTGAAATTTTCTTTCAGGTCAGTGGACAAAATTATTACTTGCTTCACAACTCAAACAGTTACTCGCTGCAAACACAGTGACTGGATCATCTTCCAGTTGTACTTTACTTCTGTCTTGGACGCAGTCAACCAGAGTTTGGTGCATTATAAGAGGATGTTTGATGGTAAGTTAGAATCAAACTTAATTGTCATATGTCTTACGTACTTATATAAAATACTGGAAAAGGTTTTCGAAACTGCAGATAAGAAACACAATTTAAAAAATAAAAAATCTTAAACCTTTCAAATTTCATGTTACGCAAAATTATTTTAATAAATAAATTTATTTATTAAATATCATATGCTTTGCGCTTAAACCACTTAAAATTCAATTCAATAGAAATATCACAAAATATTTTAAAATCAGCATACATTTAGAATTTCCAATAGACAGTCTCGCGCGCTGGAGGATAAAAATGTATTTTATCCCCCCCCCGTACAGTGTTCCCATTGCCGGCTTTGAATTCATTGAGTTTTTTAATCAAAAATTCGTCAAAATATTACAAAATGTGAAATATGCAATAAAACAAACTCAAAATTCGGACATCCAGATCTCCATGTACGGTTGGCATATTTCACAAGTGCACATCTGTGAAGGAGTGGCTTCTAGGACGGACCAATGAGCATCCAGTAATATTTCTGTCATGTCACATGACCTTTCGCGTGCTTTGAGATTTAAGCAAGATGGTTGAAAATAATCTACCACGCAATTTTCTGTAAAAAATAATCAAAGGATGTCGATTGCTTAATGGAAATTTATGTTTACAACGCTTAATTTACAAAAGAGAATTCGTTAAATTCATGACTCTGAGTGTGCTGTCTGTTGTTATACATATCCGTCTTATATAAATTTATTGCAGAAGAAAAAACATATGCCATGTCTTCTCGGTTATAATTCGTTAAAGGCAGAAAGACAGCGCATACATATGTTATCTGCCTTAGAAAAAGACAGTCACGGACAACTTTGTTAAATTCCATTCTATTATTCACAATATTACGTGGAGTCAGCCAAAAAGCTGGTTTATCCATTGGCATTGGATTCCCAATTGTCAGCAAAACGTATCGATTTGGTTGCTTGGTGAGTTCAATATGAATATTAATAATAAGTGGAATTTTTGCAAAAAACTTTCGATAGAAGAGTGTCTCCTCTTTAACATTAACCCTGAAAGTTTGGTCTCTTATCCCCTCTTTTCGAGAGGGCCACCAACACCCGAGCGGTAAAGCCGTTGAACACTGTAGTTCGGTCCTCCTTTAGAATCCCGGCGAACGGGTTGTCTGTATGGACGTGTTCCTGGTTCCCACCCCCCCCGTGTGAGACCTCTACGAATCAGCTTTCCTTAGAACGTCTTCCATGCATGCAGCAGCATTAGGCAGACAGCCTTCGTGTGTTTTCTCATAATTAAATAAACCAAGCCTTTCTGTTTTTAACTGAAGCCTGATAAACTATTTCACAGCGAAGTCGTCCGAAACATCCGAGCATTCAGACATCGGCAGGTCGCCCGAACGCCTGCGTTATTTTAGCCTAGTACTTTCTACTATCATGTTAGTCCATGATTGTTTTCGGGAATTGTTAAATGACATACCAATCAATCTTATGAAGCTATTAAAAGTAGCTCTGTTATTTGAATGTACCTTCCCTCTCCTTTAATGAGCGTCAACGTTTAGCTATTGATGCTCGGAGTTGCAATCCTGTCTTAAGGCGAAATGCACACAGTGAGTGAAACCGCACAAAGATCCCCAAGAGAGAAGTAATCACTTCACTTAAGTAGGTTTCCGCTAACTCTGTAGCATTCTACTTGGCATGGAGGAAGGAAATCCATTCCAGCAAAAAGTTGTACATGCGGCCGCTTGGAGATGTTTGAGAGAAACAGAATTTTCGCCTCTACCAAAGTGAAAGGGTTAAAACTAGCAGTGTTCAGTAATTTCAGTTATATTAAATTTCATGAGCTCTATCCAAAACCGTGATGGATACAAGAATTTCAAGGTAATTCTAGCATCAATAAGTAACAAATTTTCTCTTTTTGTTTCAGTTTAATTCCAAAAGAAAAGGGGCTGGTACATTTAAGAGCCAAATTATTGTCAGGGGTTAGCTATTTAAACATCGAAATGCATATAGCTATCTGCTGTAGGATGCCTTCGTGAAAAACTGTCTAAGGAAAATTGGTTTGCATTGCCGGGGAAACCAACCATGCCGACAGCCCGCTTGCTTGGGTTCGAGACCATGTCGTTGTATCAGTATTCAGCAGTCGCCAAATTATTGTGAAAAACGGAAAGAAATCACCTTCTGCATTGATCCTCCCTCAAAGTATTTTGGGTGTTTCTCTCGAAATCTTTGAAAAGCACAGACAGAATTTTGCAGTTAGTAATGAGGATGATAATTACCGTATATTCCGGAGCAAAACGCGTACCTATATTTCCAAACTGCATTTATTAAGTTTTAGGTATATTCGCCGTATCACGCGCCCCCTTTTCTTTACAAAGAAACCTAAAAGATTCATGTGCGATGCTTTTATTTTTGGAAGTCATTCATTTGAAGATTTTTTTCCAGGCGTTCGAACAATGGTATTTATTACATTGTAATGACAAGCGATAAGGGGAACGTGTATACGAGTAAATATTTGAGGGGGTAACTATTTCTGCGAAGAGGGTGGGTTGTATTCAGCGCAGGTGTGCATAATATTATTCTAGTGTTTTGAGAAAAGGGGGCAGAATTTGGGGCAAGAATGCCCTTTCTAACTAAATGAATTCGCGGAATTAAGAGTCACGTGTTTCCTGTTTCTGTAGTCATTTGAAGCCGTGATTTTGGAATGAATATCGGAAGGTTTAATAAATCGCATTTGCTTTATATGAAATACAGTTAATTTACTATTCTTTTTAGCATTAAATATGGCTCCTGCCCAAACTAAACAACACTGTGCTGGTTTCAAATGCAAAGCCATTTAGTTTGCGAAAGAAAATTTAAATCTTGTTTGGTTTTTGGTGAAAGATGGAACGGATTATGACTATTTATTTATGGATCAGAGTGACAATAATGGTGAAGATGAAGCAGAATTCGATGGTGTGCCTGAAGATATGACGGTAGATGCACATGACTTCATGTTACCCGATAATGAATATTTTTACATTCATATGGTCATTTCTTTTAAATAAACGACGTTTAGGTGCATGTAAAAATCTAATATTTTGAACAAATGGCGTTAACCCAGAAGGGCTATTTATTTGCATCGATTCACTATAAACAGCAAATCATTTTTCAAATTTCTGCCACCAAATATGATCGCCCTGTGCTATATTTAAAGAAATTAAATAATGAAGAATCTGTATAAATGCATGTATGTTTCTCGCATTGTGATAAAACAACGGTACCTAGAGCCATCCAATTTTGAATAACGTATTCCTACACAGAATATGGACATCTAGAAGCCTGATTTGGAGTTTGTTTTATTATCGATTTCATATTTTGCAACACTTTAACGAATTTTTGATTAAGAAACTCAACGATTTCAAAGGGAGCAATGGCAACACTGTACGAAAATAAAAGCATTTTTATCTTCCGCGCGCGAGACTATGTATCGGAAATTCTAAAGGTAAGCTCATTTTAAGATCATTTTGCGATATTGCTGTTGAATTGAATTTTATGGTTTAAGTGCGAAGAACATGATATTTAATAATAAAGGAACATACAAAACTTAAAAAAAGTCCCTGGACGTATGTAAATTCTGATGCTTCAGATTTTTTTTTTACAAGCAGTTTTTTTTTTTTTTTTTTTTTTTTTTTTTTTTTGTATGCTGACATTTTTCTTATTCTGTAATCTATTTATTCTATCATTTTTAATATCTGGTGTATGTTATATCCGGTGCAATTTCGATCTTATTTTTTTGTATTAAAAGTGAACGTTACACACCGGAATAAACGGTACTTTTTTGCTATTTTGCATGAACATTTTTATGATGTTCAGTTGATAAATAAAGTTCTATCTGAGTTAAAAATAATTGTGAAATTTTTATTAATTGCTCATTAACATTTAGGATTAGAAATTGAAACTATGCTTTGATTTCTTCTAGATCCTCTAGACGTGAAGACTGCAGACGACTGTATCAGTCAATTTTATTCAGAAAAATTTAATTCTTGCATACCTCTTGTGAGTCAATTTATAAAGAATTACAATGATGGGAATGCAAGGTAAGTTTGCGTTTTTGCGTGGAAGAAAAGAAAAATAATGTATTAAAATAAAAAAGCCATTATTTTCAGAGCAATGAAAATACTAAGCTTCTTTTTTTAATATTTGAAGTAAAGCTGCAGCCATTTTATTTACCTTTCCTCTACAACGAACCGATACGATAGCATACCATGCTATAAATGCTAAAAATACAATTACAATTCAATTTAATGAGTATTATACAGTACTAAAGCAACCAATACAGTGTCGTAATAAAAACCTATTGTAGTATGTGTCGTAATTATAACATTATTAATGCAAGATAAGGACAAGCGATTTAAAATATAATTTTAAGCATGTTGCTTTAGCGCATGTTATGCATATCATTAACAGACTGAAAAGATGAAATTTAGTTTAGCAGAGATTAGTTTGAGAGTTTTTCTTTTTTCCATGGCAGGCTTCAGCCTTTTTCAGGCCTAAACTACTAAGGCCGAAAGCGGTGGTCTCTTTATTATTTATGTTACAGAATAGATGGGCCATTGCTGCCTCCTATTCAGGTACAAACAAATTACATCCATGCCTTCTCCTAGATTCGAACCCGGGTTCTTTGGTATGGTAGTCAGGTTCACTAACTACTTTTTCCGTCTGGTCGGGCCCACCAGCTGCCGAGCAGTAAAGACGCTGAACACTAGTAGTTCGGTCCGAGTTTCGAATCCCGCGAACGGGCTGGCTGCATGGGCGTTTTCGTGTTTTCCCCATGTGTAACGTGTATACGAGCCAGTTTCCCTTAGAAAGTCCTCCACGAAGGCATCCCTCCCTTTAGGCAGATAGCCCTCGTATGCTTTGCCATAATTAAATAATCCAATCCGTCTGGTCGGAGCGGAGACTCAGAACTGTTCTCTGATAGGTTCGTTCTATATATTTAAGTGTTATCCTTTTAGATGTGTTACGAAATATGCAAAGTAATGACCGACGACAGTTACCTCTAATAATACTGTAGAATTTCGAAGCAGTAAAAGACACATTATCAGAATCGCTGATCCCTCTAGCGTCGGTCTCTCTTTCTGAATTCAAAAGAGTGGAAACAGATGATGTATGGTCCATGACCAGTTTAAGTGTCATAAGAGGCATAGTCATAAAGCATAAAATGTGGAAATTCCGTTCACACCTGCCAGACAATGTCTAAGCCGAAGCCAGTTAGAGAAGCTAAATTTGCGCTTCCGTGGATGTATCTACAGCTTCCTCCCCTCTGTTTTCTTTCTCAATAGGTTTCGTGCGGTCGCTCTGATTGGTCGACTCTTATACCAAGTCGGCATAAACCTGAAAACTTCAAATTTTATGCCAAAACCCGTAAGCCAATTTTTGTGATGTAGCAAGGTTTGGTTACCTAGCAAAGAAGCTCGACTTAAACCAGATATGACCATTTTTACACTAGGCTCCCTTCAGATGGTGGTATAATAATTGTGAAATATGATCATTTCATAGAGGCATAGTTATAGGGCATAAAATACAAGAGTTCCGTTCACACCTGCGAGACGTAGCCAACTAGCGAAGCTCAATTTGCGCATGCGTGGATGTGTCTACAGATGTCTGGCCGTATTTCCTCCTCAGTAGGTTTCGCGCGTTCGCTCTGATTGGTCGACTCTTGTACCATTTGGCATAAAGTTGGAAACTTCGAACTTTATGCCAAAAGCCCCAAACCAGTTTTTGTGATGTGGTAAGATCTGGTTACCTAGAAACAATGCAGGCTTAAACCAATTATAGCATTTATATTCAAGGTCTAGGTACTGCGTATGAGCGTTTCTGCCAGTGTCCATGTTGCTTGACACGCGATAGAAACGTTTCATGATCTTCAATCTTCTACGAAAAATCAGTTTTGCGATCTCGAAAATGTATTTTCTTAAAATAACTTCGCCAACTTTGACCTGTGTCAAAAAGTGTACAAAAATCAAAAAAGTTATTTTTTAATGATATATTCAGGACATTTCCCATCTTAAGAACATGCACCAAATAATTTTCTGTAGAATGATATATGCATCAAAATTTCCTATTGATTAGCGTTAAATAAAATTTGTAGTTCCTATCTTTTAAAGGAATATTCTCGCTTCCAAATAAGTAGCGTATTGTTGCATGCGCACGGGTTCGTAGTAGATTGAAAGCGCAAGCCCGATAATAAGTTGATAAAATTTATTTCTATCAAAAGAAATATAACATAACGCTGGAATTTTCGTCACAGGTATTCGTACAAGTGCTCACAATATCACTCACTACAATCAGTAGTTATACTTCAAACTACTAAAACGCAATCGCAATCCAAAGTGTATCTAAGTGTAAATCCACAGCGCAATCTGAAGCGTACCTAAAGAAATAGCTAATCCAAACTCACGCTGAACTCGCAGCAATAACAACAGCAGCTAAGTAAACAACTGAGAGCAAATGGAATACGGAAAGAAATGGAAATACTGTTACAGCTAACATAGCAGTCAATTACATTCATTTAATTTCAATACGAATTACCGAAATAACCATCTACTCAATGTTAAATGCACGTGCCCCTGCGTTCTTACGTTTCTGGCATAAATTTCTGTTAATTTATCTTGCGCTGCATTGCACGGAGAAATGCAACAATTTTAATTATAATTCTACTAAAATTAGCTATTTAAATGCAAAATTCTAATTAGAATTGTTTTTTAATGAGGCATCAATTTCTCTTGTTTATTAAAGAACTGACCTAAGAGACACAAAAGTTACTGAGCGAAACGATCTGATGATATTCGGTATGTTTAGCAAAACTTGCTGTGGTGAATAAGCTGATGAAGCATAACTTTCTCTTAAAATTTATCTTGGCCTGCTGCGTTTACGTTTCTGGCCTAAATTTCGCTAATTTACTTGCGCTGCTTCACGGAGAAAGACAACAATTTTATTTAATTCACTAAAATAGCTATTGATGCAAATTCTTCACAGTGTAGGATTGTTTTTTAAATAGCTTCAATTTCTTCTTTGTTTATAAAATAACTGACTAAGAGACAAAAGTTTTACTAGCGAAACAATCTGAGATATCGAGTATGTTAGCAACCTTTGCTGTGGTGAATAAGCTGATGAAGCATAACTTCTCCTAAATTTATCTGCGCTGCATTGCGTTCTTACGTTTCTGGCCTAATTTCTCTAATTCTCTTGCGCTGCATTGCACGGAGAATGCACATTTAATTATATTCTACTAAATTAGCTAGTTGAGGGCAAAATTCTTACCTGTAAATTGTTTTTTAAATGAGCATTCACTTTCTTCTTTTTTATTAAATAATGACCTAAGAGACACAAAGTTACTTAGCGAAACAACTGAGATATCGAGTATTTTAGCAAAACTTTGCTGTGGTTAAATAAGCTGATGAGCATACTTTCTCTTAATTTCTTTGCGCTGCATTGCGTTCTTACGTTTCGGCCTAAATTTCCTTATTTATCTTGCCTGCATTGCCGAGAAATGCACCACTTTTAATTATATTCTACTAAAATTAGCTATTGAGTGCGAAAATTCTTAACATGTAGAATTGTTTTTTAAATAGCATTCAATTTCTTCTTGTTATTAAATAACTGCCAAGAACCAAAGTTTACTGAAGGCGAACATCTGATGATCTTCGATACGTTTGCAAACTTTGCTGTGTGAAATAAGCTGATGAACTAACTTTCTCTTAAAATTTATCTTGCGCTACTTGCGTTCTTACTTTCTGGCCTAAATTTCTCTATTATCTTGCCTGCATTGCACGGAGATGCACAATTTTAATTAATTCTACAAATTAGCTAGTTGATCAAATCTTAACAGTGTAGATTGTTTTTAAAAATGAGGCTTTCAATTTCTTCTTTGTTATTAAATAACTGACCAAGAGACCAAAGTTTACTGAAAGCGAAAAATCTGATGATTTCGGTATGTTTAGCAAACTTTGCTGTGTGAAATAAGCTGATGAGCATACTTCTCTTAAAATTTTATCTGCGCGCATTGCACGGAGAAATGCAACAATTTTAATTATAATTCTACTAAAATTAGCTATTTAAATGCAAAATTCTTAACAGTATATAATTTTTTTTAATGAGGCATTCAATTTCTTCTTTGTTTATTAAAATAACTGATCTAAGAGACACAAACGTTTTACTGAAAGCGAAACGATCTGATGATATTCGAGTATGTTTAGAACTTTCCTGTAGTTGAAATAAGTTGATGAAGAAAATATATTTTCGTTCTGGATGTATCATGGTAGCGCATATATCTTCCAAGAGAAAACTGTTTTCGCCAGTGTTGTTCTATAATGTAAAATATCATATACAATTCTTATGTTAACTGCAAAATTCTCATTCTCATTTTTATTTTCAATCTCGCAGCATTTCTGACTACCCATCTCAGTGCATAGAGGATGTTTTTGGAATCTGCAACAGTAGTAAAACATTTCATTCGATAATTAAGAAATACATGAATGTCGCCGACGACGAAATTCAGGAAGTTTGTCTCGATGCTAAACCAGGAGGTAATGTTATAAAGTTTCTGGTTTGGTTTCTGGTCTGGTTTCTTTCTGGTCTTAAATCCATATGTAGATAAATAATTTTTCAACGGGTATGGTTCAAATGCTTATTTATTAACTTTTATGCATATTTTAATGTAAATTATTGTAATTTAAATGAATTAACGTTTATGATGTAACGAATTTAATCTTCAATAAAAAATATCAGCTCTTGTAAGGATTAATTAAGTATATTGTTGCGTTCTACGAGTTTGTGGATTTGGAGTGATTGATGACAACACTTGGTAACGAATAAAAACACAATTTATTCGTCAGTATTACAGAAGACAATTCAAAAAACGCTTTACAGTCGTTGAAAAAGTACGACAAACACGCTGAAACAATCAGCAACACAGCATTCAGACTATTAGCCTGTAACGCTAATTTTGTCTCCAAATATTGCCAAATGGGCGATTTCGTGCCAAATCTGGCAACTTTGTCCTTTTTTGGCAACCCACTTTGCGGAAAAGCTAGGCGCGGCTGGGCATTTCGTAACCGTATGATAGCCATATTTCCAAATGTGCTGCCGTGCCTGTAGAGTTTGTTACAAGAAATGGATTCTATTGATGTAACATAAGGGGACAAAACTGATTGAAAATTTTAAAAAGCACTGAGGGAAACTCTTGGAATTTAACATTAAAAATTAAGATAAATCAAGTAATGATTGTTTTAGAAACTTGTTTATTATATTCTCAAATTTTCCCAAAAGAAAGCTCTCTTTGTTTCGCTTCTGGAATTTTCTAAAAAATGGTATCAAATTCCAGTAAACGATTATTAGGAAGCTGATTTTCAGTTTTGTCAGTCTTATTTCCCATTCACATTCAGATGGAAACCATCAGACAGCATATTGGCAAAACTTTTTAGTTTGTACATCTCTCTGGTGAAAGGAAATATTTAACAATACGATCCACTTTTAGCGCTATTGAGAAGACTACCTTGTGCATTTATTTAGCAACTCTCTTAAAAAAAACATTCGAATATGCATACTGAAAACAACTATATGTAAAACAATAGAATTTGCCATAGGAAAATCCTTTTAACCTGAAAATTATCGCGAACGGAGAGAGCTGTAGCTTTACAAGTGAGGTTACGGTATACAAAATGGATAGTTTCGTTGAAATATGCTGCCTGAAACGTTTCGCGATTACAATACTTCCTTTTTACTTCATACAAGGAAGTAAAAACCGCAAAAGCAAGACTGTCACACAGTGATAGTAAGTTAATGTTATCGTCTGCTATCGAGATTATAATAAGGCTTAAGATTATGCTGTTTGTGTGAAGTGAGAGTCAACACAATTTAAGATAAAATTTTTAATGCATTGGAAATTAAAGTTTTACAGACGTTACAGTACAGTACAACGTCATAATCTGCAATTTCGCACTAGTACATTTCCGAACTGAGAATATGCAGAGCAGAATAGTCGCACATCAGTTGAGGGCATCTTTGGGTAAACAGGCAACAATTTATCTGATCCGTGTGAACCAAATGTCATTTCGTACTAATTAATTGGTGATTTGAATCTTTCTAAGTCGAAATTTTGCTCTATATCATTTCGTTTTCGATTTGCAATGCCTATCTTCCAAATTTCGCCTCTAAGAGCGATGGTGCCGTCTGCATTACGTCGGGCATAGTCGCTTTATTCTACAGTTACCTCACTTGAATATCTGTAGCTCTCTCCGTTCGCAAGAATGCAGATATTTTCAAGGGACTTTCCTATGCAACATATATATTGTAATGTATGTTGCAGGCAATCTTCTTATTACAGCATAAATTTTATTTCTAGTTCACGGAGATAGATAATTTGAAGAATTCTTAGGACAAAACTTCATACTACCTCCTAGCTGTGAAAACTCAAATTCACAATTTTTTAAAACAATTTCTCACCTGCTGAGCACGGTTACTATACAAAGAATGGTGTTGCCATTCAACAATCTTATTATTATATTTAGTTTTTATTAATAAAGATATTACAACCTCTCCCCCCAATAAACTTTAATTTATAAAAATAAGGTTTTTTTAAAAAAAAAAACAGTATTAGCAAATACGATGAAATCCAACAAAACATGCCTGAAGAAGAGAAAAGAACAAAATTTTTTTTTTTATCTATATAAGAACAATATTTATCAGGCCAGGGAGTACGCCTTAATACGTCCATTTAGAGTTTTTTACACTTCGATAACGTCGTGTATTGTAGGGTTTTAGACAGTGCCCATCTCATAAGTCGTCATTTAGCTCACATTAATTTACCAAACTAAGAATTATGATCGGTCAGGATAGAATTTAGTATGCCCGTCTAAATAACCTTGATTTCTTTACAGTAATATTCTAACATGTTCATACTGACGTTTGCCAATTTAGGACAGGTTACAGCATCCGGATATTTTGAAGCTAAACAAATAGCTGTAATTAAATATCTATTGCCTTCGTGTTATTGGTAAAGGGCCGCATGCGTCAAAATTAATTTTGGAAAAGACTTCTGCAATAATTGGTACTAAAGTCAAAGGTGCTTTGTCTTTATCACTAGATTTTTCCACTCTTTGACATGGATCACAAGTTTTAACATACTCTTCTATATCTTTATATCAATTAGGCCAGTAAAAGTATTTTGTTAATATATCTTTAATTTTGACGATGCCTAAATGTCCAGATATGCTAGCATGACATAATGACTTTATTTGTTCTCTATATTTTTCAGGAATAACAATTAATTCTCTTTCATTTCCATTTTTCTACTTTCTTTCACCACAATCGTTTTCTTTTACTTTGAATCATTTGTCTGTTGGAATTTTCATTTTGCTTCGTTAGCAATGACCTAGATCGCTCTTTCATGCTAGATTCAATTAATCTTTGAATTAACATGAGCTGTCTTATTTCCGTGCTTCCGCAGCACCTTGCGTAAAATATCTCGCAGTCTCAAAGTCGTCGTAGTCAGTTCTTCTAGTTTCTCCATTTCCCGTTCCTAGTTCGATCTCTTCATGGATCTTTTACTTGAGATCGTGTCAAACTCATTTTTTTTTCTAATTTAAGAATGATTTATTTTTAACAATTGGGCAGTTTGTTACCCAGTACGTATCTGCGGGATCATTTGTAACACAGCTGCTTTTTCTTTATATGACCAAGTTCACAATAATTTCAACTTCCCTACGGTAGACACACAAATGGTCATTTAAAAGTATGTCCCAGACATGTCTCTAGTCAGTTTCGAGTATCTGATTTCTGAGAATAACATCACAGTGCTCCTGTGTCTCGAAGACAGACATTTCATACCCATTTCCTCACCGTTATGTAATGTCTCTAAGAATCTCATTCAAGAACGCATTACCTTTCATTTGTTTAACGAGGCACTGAGCTAAAATGTTCGATGACCCACACTCGAACAGTATGTCGATATCGTTTGTCATATCAATTTTCTTCGTTCTTGTTTTGAATGACTGTCTTGTCGGATCTTTCTTGGTATTTTGAATCTCCCATTTTCGAATGCTTAAATAAGGCGATCTCTATTTTTCACAAAATTTCATAACGAGGTTTAAATGATCTTGTTAATTGCCTCAGTCTGATTGGCAAAAATTTCGGTTTTCTTGTTTTCTCACATCTTCAAAATCTCAATTTTCTTACCATTTCATTAGGTTAAATGATGTTGTCCTTGATCCATAAAATGCTCTTTGAATCAGAGAAGTCGCTTTTTAATTGATCGACAGCATTAGAGCTTTTAGCTGTTCAAACTTTTACTAATTATTAGAAGGATGGCTTAACGCTTAACTCATCCGTTAGCCATCCTTCTAAATATTCTTTAATCTAGTAGAAACATTTAACAATTTCTCAGTCCTGAGCAACAGTTAATTAAACAAATATATATATATATAATATATAAATATGGCGTTGCCACTTCAACATTATTATTATTATATTATTATTAAAAATAACAGATATTCCAATATTGGCAATAATATATATTATATATATATATACTTAATAAACCAAATTTAGAATCCTGAGTATGACGTATGAAACACCAAATGCAAAACTAGAAATACTGTTGGCGCTCACGTAGTAGGAATAACGTAGTCATATTGAAAGGAATAATCTGATGCGTAGAATGCTAAAATGTTTAATCCGTAATGAATAGGAAACTTGGCAGCCGAGTAAGATTAAACATTCACTTTTATTCCAGTTGACATAAAACTGGCCACAAATTACTTGGCATTCTAATCGCGCCTATTTCCATAATATTTACATTTTTGATACTAGCGTCATAGTAAGAGAGCACAGCGAAATAGCGTCATTACAAGAACACAGGCAGAAGCAAAAGTGCGCAATTATCCAGTATGAAAGCTTACCAAGAGAAGGTTTTTGGTTTAGAAAGATTTCAGTTCTCAAAATTTTGAGTTCAAGTTCCGAATTAGCTACGTCATCAGCATTAACCATAGATACGTAAGGCATTAGCCATAGATTAATCTAGAAATGGCGCAGTCCAGAAACATTGTTACGATTTTTAGACTATAGAAAGGAAGTAACCAAATTAAAAAAGAATAATTAAGAGGTTATTGTTAAATTAAATCATAAAGTTGATTTGCATATTTTAATATTACACACACACGTGTGTGCATGTGTAATATAAAAATATGCAAATCAACACATATGAGATATGTGTGTATGAAAATATTTTAAATGAGTGTAAAAACAATTAGAAAACGAAAATAAAACATAGACACAAATTTGCGTAATGTTTTGAAAATAATATATCAAAAGTCAAAACGAAAATCATTATTAAACAAAAATCATTTATATTTTTCTTTAATTTGTGTTTTACTAATTTAAATTGTTTCACGGTGATAATAGGTTTGGACTTCAAATATTTAATGCGGCATTTTCGTGTTTGATTTTTGAAATTTTGAATATTATATATATAGTAGCAGCTACGCGGACAGCCTTCGTCTGGCTTTTAAATGTACCTGAAAAATTCCTGAAGGGAATAATTAATTAAAGTTAATTTAACGTTAAATTTAAACAGAATTTTACTCTGCAAAACATTAAAAAAACCTATAAATAAAAAAAAATATTATATATATAGCAAAATTACAATGAAATAAGCAATATTCCTTAATACAATATTATTATTCTAATAATAAATAACCACTTCCTGGTGCCTTCTCTCAACAATCGTCCGTATCAAGAAACTTAAAAACATTACATTTAAAAACTCCCATAATTATCGCCCTCATTTTCCAAGTGGCAACAGTGCTCATTTTCACGTCAGCATTCAGTACAATAATTGAATGAAAACTGTTGCAAGCCACATTTCTAAAAGAATGAGACTATCCAATGTGCTATAAAATCGCAAAGATAATTAAAAATCTGATCGAAGTTTGAAAAATCGCTTCGGGTGCCCTGGCTCTTCGTACTCTGGGTCTATTATCTTACGCGCAGCACGAACGAAACACATATATTTTATTATATGTAGATATTAGTACTAAGGAAAAAAGGTAGCCGCGCAACGATAAAGTCCCATAATGGTCAGGTCAGAATATTTAACGAGCAGTTCTTATATTATAAAAAATTCAGTAACGCATGTAATATTGAAAAAAAAGGGTTAGTATTGTGTGACAAAAATTGCAATTAATCACATATACAGGAGAGATTAGTATAATTTTGGTTATATATTTTATATTGAAAAAAATTTTCTTATTTTTTAAGTTATAATGTTAATTATACAATAAATTACTTAAATAAAACATTTTGATGCGTTGTGATTTGAATGCACAGCAATCGGCTACTGTATAGCGAATGAATTTATTCTTTTCCTGAAAGAAATAATTTTCAGAAGGAAATAAAAAAAAGGTAAGAAATATTAAGAAGAATTTTCTTTCTAATTATATGTAAAGATATTTTCCAATGTAACTTAAATAATTGCGGGAAACGTTTTAATGTAAGCATGGAAAAAAAAAAAGAAGAGAAAAAAACTTAGTTTCTTTGATTGTAATCAATTAAATATTATAAATTTAAATGATTAAATTGTTATTTCTAAAGGATTTGAAGTAGTTTATCTTTACTTACTATTACATTGCTTGTGTGTCCATATCACTCTTTATTTCTTAGCTCTAAAATTCCTATTAGCTTCCCTTAAAAAACGGATTTTCCTTCACATAACACAGCGCATATTCGCTGCGTGTTGGTCATAATCTGTTTGTGCAATTTTTTTTCGAACTCAATGCAGCGTGTGAGTTAGTGAAATAAGGGGATTCTAGAACTTCAGCAGCGCGCGCTATAATTCGTCCTCGTCTGTACTGCATTGTCTAAACTCCTTGAGCCTTGTCCTTTCAGTAAGTTAAATGGACCCACCCGCCCACCAACTGAGGACCCAGATGCTTTCTCCGATAAGTTGTTGATAGCTTTCATACCGGTTTCTTTGGTCTTTTGTTCGCTTAAGTTGTAGACAGATCCATTGATCAAGAATAGGCGTCCAGGTCAGGTCAACATTTTCATCAAGTACGTCTAATTAAAGTACATTACTCGACCTGGTTAAAGCTCCTTAAGGCTTTGAAGAATGGTGGAGTATTTATCCATATTGGGCATATATGAGTAAAAGGGAAAACTTTTTGTGTTGAGAATTGTCTGAAAAGTACCATAGGTGACCTCTAGTGCGAGAGAGGAACTAAGAGGATGTTTAGCATCCAGTCGAAGTGTTGATCACGTGGCCTATCCCATGATGTTGATTGGTCAGGGAAAAAGAGCTGTAGTATTCATAATTTGCGCATTTTTTAATAATATAAGCCTATTTACAAGTGCAGATACATTTTAGTTGAGTAATGTAGAGTAAAATACTTGAAATAAATTAAAGTTTCGTAAACTGATGCATAATAGGTAAAAAAGAGATAAATATCTTGAATATATTGGTGTGTCCTCCTGGACCAATAGTAAGGCTTGAATAAATGAACAATTTCTAGATTAAATAGATGGTTTAACTAATGCTTTTAAGTTCAAAAGTTCAAGCAATAAGTTGAAGCAAAAGTTAATCTGGGTAATACAATTAAAATGAATATGTACAGATGAATATATACAACTCTACCAACGTACATTATGATGGATGGTACGTGGTCGCTTATATGGTTGATCTATTGTAAAATTGTAGTTTCCTATATTTTGAATAATGGTTGAAGGATGAGTAGCAAGGTTTTCATAAAATTTATGTACAGATTTAAGGATCTCTTCATCAATTGTAGTAATATTGAGGTCATGGTGGAGAACAGAATTTCGAACGAACCAAGGTGCTCCAGTCATGATTCTAATAATTTTATTTTGTAATACTTGAAAGGGTTTCCTATTATTCCTGGCGGCAGCCGCCCAAACTGGGGAGCCACACAACATGATAGGTCGAATAAGTTGAAGATAAATAATACGCCAATAATGGTACAACTGGTGACAAACTGAATATCTTCGCTGGTAACCTTTTACGCCTCATTTTCCAAAACAAGTCGCAGCCATTTCTTACCAAATTGATTGTTTCTTTCAATACTGGCATACAATTACATAGAATATTTACAAAGATAATTAAATTTTATTCCTTAAGACAATTCGCGGTACTTAAGTCAATTAGGATGCAATCACATCGCTCACCCGAAGGCGAAAATACAGAAAAGGCAAAATTAAGTGTTAAATTCATCCATTCTAATGAGAATGCGCTAGCGAAGTAAAGCACTGCGGGTTTACATAATTTCTGAGTAAGCTATTCGTACGAATTAAAATAATCCTTGCATTTAAACTTGGATTCCAAATTAAGATTTAACTTGAAATTAATGTAGATAATTACTGAGATAATTATATTTTTGTAGCGTAGTTTACGTGAGATGAGATCACTTGGGATCACGTGATGCGAACCGGCGAATCAGGATGTTGAAACATGAGAGCATAGTAAATTCTTAAATTAATGTCTTTTTACAAATTTATTATCTTTATTTATTGGCTTTTTTACAAAATTTTAAACCATATTAAAATGTTTATGCCTTCAAAATAAAAATTCTTAGAACTAACATTTGTTAACATTTTTATGTGTATACTGTGTGTTGTCACTAACAAAGTCCGTTGGCGAGATTTGTGCCGGCGAAATGGAAAAGTACCAAAAAAAACCTTGAAAAATTACTAATCTAAAAACGACTAAAACCTTTACCGGAAAATACGTGGTTCCCGTAAAGTAACTACTTATTTTCCTGTAAAGGGTTTTTCGGAAGTTTCCTGTAAGTCGATTTTAGATCGGCAATTATTCAAGGTTTTTTCCCTTTTAGTATTGATGAATTATCAGGTTTATAGTTTTCCTTCTAAAAAGACTAACTGTAAAGTAGGTTAGCTTCCTCTTTACTTATACATATACACTGAAGTGACAAAAGTCATGTGATACCTCCTAATATTTTGTCGGTCCCCTTTTTTCCCGGCGAAGTGCAGCAACTCGACGTGCCAGGGACTCAACAAGTCGTTGGAAGTCCCCTGCAGGAATATTGAGCCATGCTGCCTCTATAGGACGTCCCCTAATTGTGAAAGTGTTGACGTGAAGGGTTAGGGCACGAACTGACCTCTCGATGAGTCACTAAATGTTCGATGGGATCATGTCGGGCCATCTAGTGGCCAGATCATTCGCTGGAACTGTCCAGAATGTTCTTCTAACCAATCGCGAACAATTGTGGCCCGGTGACATGGCGCATTGTCATCCATAAATATCCATCGTTGTTTTGAGTACGTGAAGTCCATGAATGGCTTGTAAGTGATCTCCAAGTAGTGAAGGTATCCATTTCCATCAATGATCGATTCAGTTGCAACAGAGGACCGAGTCCATGCCATGTAAAAAAACGCCCAGACCATTATGGAACACCACCAGCTGAACAGTGCTTGGTCCATGGAAAACTTGGGTCCTGGCTTCGTGGGGTCGCGCCACACTCGAACCCTACCATCAGCTCTTACCAATGAAATCGTGACTCATTGACCAAGCACGGTTTTCCATTCGTTTAGGGACCCAACCGATATGCTCAGAGCCCACGAGAGTCGGCAGGCGATGTCGTGCTGTCATTAAAAGCACTCGAGTCGGTTTCGCTGGCATAGGCCAAGGAAGACAAATTTCGCGGCACTGTCCTATCGGACGTCCCTTGTACGTCCCACAATTGATTCTGCAGTTATTTGACGCAGAGTTGCTGCCTGTGAAACATTGACAACTCTACGACGTCGCTGGTCTCGGTCGTTAAGTGCAGGTGGTCGGCCACTGCGCTGTCCATGGTGGGTGTTATGCCTGAAATTAGATACTCTCGGCACACTCTTGACACTGTGGATCTCGGAATGTTGAATTCTCTAACGATATCCGAAATGGAATGACCCATGCGTCTAGCTCCAACTACCATTCCGCGTTCAAAGTCCGTTAATTCTCATCGTACGGCCATAATCACGTCAAAGCCTCTTAACATGAATAACTTGAACACAAATGAAAGCCCTGCCAAAGCACTTCGCATTTATACATTTTCTACGCGATACTACTGCCATCTGTATATTTGCATATTGCTATCCCATGACTTTTGTCACTTCAGTTTATTATAGAATTATACATGTGTATACACAGATACAGGTTTATAGGATTATATAACCTATATAGAAGTAAAAATGCATACAAACATTTATATAAGTTTATAATGATATCTTTGCGAAAATATAATCTCCGGTCGACAGCGCTTAAGTTTCCTACGAAATATTGTCAAATAATGTTTTCAGAACTCTCTGCAAGAATTCAGTACACAAAAAGAAGAAGAAAGTGAAGCAAACATAAATTTATCCTCCATTCATGTTATTAGGCTATGTTTATAGTAATCTATTACTTGATCCATAAACATAAAATATTGATATCAGTGCATTTTTTTTTTTTTTTTTTTTTTTTTTTTTTTCAGGTTACCATTTGAATTCTTGCCCAGCAAAAAGCTTATCTTATGATTCTGCTTGCGTCGAAGACGAAATTTTGAATTCTGAAGAAGAGGATAATACTTTAAAGTATGATTTCCTGCAAAGCCAATTTTTCCCCTTCGGATTAAAATTAAGAATAAATGATTTGGTGTTGAAAGCAACTAGACGGTTCGTTTTACTCTGTGTTTCAGAAGCTTTGTTGAATTTAAAATGCAACAAAGAAAAAGAACTGATGTATTAAGCACTTTCTTTGGTTAATATTTTGTATTTATATTTACCAAAACCTTTTTAATTATTTAAAAACAGAAGAAATTAAAATTTCATGAAATAAATGTTAATTATACTTCATTAAGAAACGAATATTTCTGTTATAATCCATTAGAACTTTAATTTTAAAAATTGCTTAATAATACTGATGTTTATACATCGCACTTCAGTATCCAAAGCGAACTATTTTACTCGTTTTATTTATTTTAAAGCACAAATTTTCGTAATATTCTGTTTGATTTTAGGACCATGAAGAAGTGTCAAAGATGCGCGATTCAGAAGATAGACGACATATGCTTATACAATGACTATAAAGATTTAATAGCTACTGCTACTCAAGAACTTCAGTCTTTCGGAAAATGCCTGAAGAGACGAAATAGCATTCGTAAGAAAAGTTTTAAATTTAGAATGTTGTTTTGTTCTTAAACTATGCGCACATAACTAATTATTCATATGCCTGACTTAATGTCTACTAAGGCTGTTCGAACATGTTTTAGACGATTTTCATTATGTGTACAGAAATGGTGTACCTGAAATTGTTGAGTTTTAAATGTTGCATTTGCTAACCCATTTTCTTGACTCTCTTTATATACCGTAATTTCAAAGACAATAAAGCTTTTTTTTAGTAGCGAAAGAGGTATTTTATCCCATTCGTCTTGAACTGCTTTTCTAAGTCCAAGCTGGACTTAGGAAAGCTGTTCAAGAGGAATAAGTTCAAGCTGTACTTAGGAAAGGACGTCTGGACAATCCGCTTTTTAAGCGTCCAAAAGCGCAAAACTTCGTAGATGATGTAACAGGAATTTAGCAGCAATATTAAAGAGGGGCATGGCCTTGATACACATTTCCTGCTCCATCTTTTTCGAGGAAATTTATAGTGGATTTCGGTATGCTTTGCAGCTGCTTGCTTTGTCTTGAGGCAGTTCTACTGATCAATGGCAGTGAGGGTAAAGAGAAGGTATATGATATTTGAAAATTGTGTACAAAATATGTTCCTGATACTATGTGGATTTGACCTTAACAGTTTTCTTCATTCTCTTTATAAGGTATTTCTCCCGCCATCTTAGCATTAGACTAAGTGGTCAGCACTCTGAGCGCGTATTCCAAAGGTCCGTGGTTCGATTCCTGGCGAAGACGTTGATCATTTTTCACTTCTTCTGCTTCCAAAAAATACCTAATGCGTCTACATATTTAAATTTTATTTGCTGTTTTATCAAAAACCAGCAACAATCATAAATCCATTTAAATTCTTCAGATCCCTTGAACCCTTTAATGGTAACAAATGGATATCTTTTTATTGCTGTCAGATAAATATATCCAAGATTCATCTACTGTGGCAACTTTTACCCATTTTTGTCCGAATAATTGTTTCTCATAGAGAATTCTGCAGCGCGTTCTGCTTTCGGCGATGTCGTTGACAAAGGCGATGCGCATGCGTTATTTTCGCCTTTTTAAGATTCAAATCAGCATTTACGCAACTGCCCTTTGGCGTTGAGCATTGCTTTTGACATTAATGTTCTTACCTTTGCAACATTCAAAACATTCCGTTTTTCACTTGGCTGCGTATTTGAAGAATTTTCCTCCTTGTAGCCAAATTTTGACGCCTTTTTTTTTTCCTTTATTACTAACAATATTATCTATCGTTGCTATAGATATCGAAACATAATGGCTTTCGCGGCATTTTTTCGTAACTAAATACGAATAATTTTCTTCGGAAAGAGCCCAAACATAGCCTTCCGTCCATTGCTTCTAACAAAATTGTTAAATAGCAAACCATAATTTATACTTTCAAACATATAGTTGCAGGTAAAAAAAAAAAAAAAAAAAATTCCAAGCAGGTGGTTTTTTTCATAGCGAAGCAAAGTCATCTAAAAAATGTACGAACGGCCTCTATAGTACAAACAAATTTAATAATAGTACTGAATAAATTCTTATGCATGATACTAAAAAATTAGTATCATACATAAGGATTACATAAGTAATTACAGCAAGAATGGAATTATTTCTATAACTACTTATCCAAATTCTCCTTGAAATTCGGCTCATGTCTCTTTGTCTTTCAACTTATGTGTGTATTATACGCAAATCATCTATGGATCCTCCAAATTATAAATTACATACATTAAATGGATTCAACTTAAAACTAAGTTATTCGTGAAGACCTCATGTTACATTATTAAATAATGGCAAAAAGCATATTTGAACTATCTGCCTTAGCGGAAAACTAAAATCTGTCACAATTAACCTCTGCAGCCGTAAGGTTCTGAACGGATTACCAGTGTTTTGGGGCTTTAATTATTTTTTGATTAATTAAAAACTTAATTTTATTAAGAAAGATATTTTAAGCTACGTGTTTCGCAGTTAAATATCCAGCTGTAACAAATTTTACTGTAAACTTTATATTATTACACTGTTTTGAATTTGTTCTACACTCAAAATAATTACTAGAAATTAAGTGACATTTCGCAAGCCAATCAAGTTGTATCGTACTGAAATGTAGAATACGCCGTGGAGAGCAGCAACAATCTTATATTTTATGTAAATTAGTGACTATGTAAATTAATGAATATGAGTAAATGTCATATTGAACCAAAAGTAAATTTTCTACTACGTTTATCATGATATTTTGTCTCATGCAGTCCGCTTTTCAACAGAAGGCTTTATCAAAGTGGACTGTTTCAAAAGCTGTTCGCTGGTTAGAAGCAGGTCAGGTATAGTAATGCTAAAAAAAGCTACTGAAATGTAATGAAATGCTATTTTCTGATAATGACACTGATCCAGTTTATGCAAAGTATTTGATGAAAACCAATATTAATGTAACGTAAGGGCACCTGCCATCATAATCTGTTAGCAAACTGTCAGACACATGCTCCCGCGGGGTTCACTAAGGGAAGGACTCCCTTCTGTTAAAAAGTCATTTGAAACAGCGGACTGCATGAGACAAAATATCATGATGAACGTAGTAGAAAATGTACCTGTACCTAGACAGACTTGACTTCTGGGGAAAATAATCAGTCTTCACAGTCACTAAAACCATATTTTATACAGTCGTAGGTTCAGGCTCGGCAGGGACCGTACTGGCACTGTCTTGTCTGCCCCTTGGTTGTGGAGACGTTACATGGTTAGATATCGAAGCTTGTACTTGGGGGTTTGGCTCCCCTTGGTCATCAATGGGGGACAGACCACATTGTTCTGTTTTCTCTTTGTTGGCGATTTCATCTTGGCTAGTGTCTTGTTTCCAGACCTTGTGCATTTCTGCCCCCCTGGAATGATCCATAAAGGTAAGAATAAACTTCCTGTCTCCATAGGTTGACCAGGGGCCTATGCCTCTGTCATGTCTCTGGCTGCGGTCAGCCAATCAGCTGCCTGCCTGTTTACGCCTGAGTTCGAGTTTCGATTTTAGCCAGCGTGGCTGATTAATTTGTAAGGTATTAAACAACTGTGTTTCATTGGAGTTATTTTCTTAAATCATATAGTATCAACGTCATGTAAATTTTTGTACATAAAAGTCGTGCTTCTATATAATAAAGGATTTCATTTTCCAATAATGTATTGTGTCACGTCTCTGCCATCCCGACAAGAATGACAGCCTCCTTGTACCCCTCTAGGGGTTGGAGCATTATAACCGTATAAGACATCTAATAAGACAGGTCTGGGAGCCCGTTCTCCCTAGTGTTCTGTACTGCACTGTGCTGTCAGATACACATCAATATGCTATAAAGAACCAGAAGGCGCTTCTTGAGGCAATAGAGAGCAAATTACCATCTCAGATAGCAAGTAATTGCCTAATAAACGTAACTTTTATGCGAGCAAGCAATAATCTCGTGCACATTCAAGAGGAGAAATCACATAATCCATAGAAATCTGTGGGGAAATTCAGAATCGGAACTGCCATTGTTTGTGATTAGTAGGATGTTAATTCGGAATTTAAGAACTGATTTATTTTTAATCAGAGAAAACGTGAACACACTAAATAACTCATACTTGCACAAGAAACTAAATATTAAGCAAAAATGGGCTAACAGTCTAGTCAGACAGATATAAATCGATTTAAATATCTGTGCATAGCCTAAAATGCAACTGGAGCACAGCAGTACCGAGATATACAGGTTCTTCACTCTGAGTAAGAGTGTCTTTAGGGATAATAAATGCAGGGTCACTACTTGTATGGCTGCCAAGTGAAAACTCGGTACTACGTGTAGGGTTACTAAGCTGAACCCAAAGGCACAAGCTGGTTTCTAGCTGAAGATGACGCGTTCACATCATTTATCGCAGTCGGATTTCTATTTTCAGATTTACACTTTTTCAAGCGCACTGCGCGTATCATAAACTTGAAAGTACACATAGTAGCCAGTCATGTTGGTAGCTGTCTCTTTCTCACCGAAGAGTTCTCTTTGGTGTTCTCTAAGAACATTCTCTTTTTCCTTCCTAACAAAACAATCCAGTTCCATGCCGTTCGTACCTCCTTTATACATCCGTCGCCTTTCGTATTTCCTTTCCTGCCTCAAAATATAATTAACTCAATCATTTGATCTTCCTTCACGGCTAATCAATTCCATCGTTTCATCTTAATTTCAAACTCAAACCCTCTGTCGGAACTCTTAGTTAAGCCATTCTCCGCCCCCATGACTTTTTTTAATTCGGAGCAACCTCCATTTCTTACCCTTTCTTCAGATTCTTTTTCCTCTTCTACGAATCGAAAATAAATTCACCGTCAATTCACAGTAATATATTTCAGTCACATCTTTCCCCAGCGTTTTCGAATTATAACGTCTCGTTTTCTCTGGTAACATAAACTAACAAAACCTAGAAGACTTTGTGAAGAATTATCCTCAAATCTTAAGTAAAACACATCCAAAGAATTGTGTAAAGAACAGTTTATTCACTCAGTATAAGTTTGCAGATGGCCCCACTTGGGAGTACACAAAAGCCAACACTACTGGCTTAACTTAAACAAGCAACAAATGTAATAAGTTTAGCCTAACGACTCACAGGATAACATAACGTGCAGGAAGGCTCTGACTCGTAAAAGTCGGTGTAAACAAGTCTAATGGCTAGAAGCACTCGACACCACAGAACTCTAATTGCTAATAATTCAAAATAACAACGTGGCCTTCAAGCTGACTAACACACTCCAAAAGTACCTTTCAAAACCTTCCCTTAAATACTATTTCTTTCTGCCTCGTTTGAATACACACACGCTAGCTTATTAACATCCTGGAAGAAAACCTTGGGTGAAAATGAGAAGGAAGGGATAGTTGCTTTAAAATAAAAATCATCTGTTAGATCAATTAAATGAATCTGCACAAGATCTTAATTTATTTTCCCTTTTTCAATAATATTTTCACCTTTTCATAAATTATCAATCAAAATTTTCACCTGGCGCAA